AGGATAGATAGATCTGTAGAAATTTATGCCACGAAACTAAACTCATAACCAGGTCCATGACCCCACGGCATGGAATAGAAAGAAGAACTAGTAACAAAAACTAATAGTGTCTAACTAGCGTCAACAGTGGAGTAAATCACGTCTATCTAATTTAGAACTTAATAGAAATGAATAAAGCATATATCACGTCATACAGATCTTCTATGTGAATTGGTGACTTCATTGCTGATAATGGGGATCCAAATGGGAGAAAAGTCCAAACTGGGTTGGCTAATTGGGTTGGCCGAGCATGCCATATGGGCCGCTTCCTTGTATTTCCTATACCTGATGTGGTATGCCATTTTTGACAAGTATCAAACAGCTTTTCAATATGTAAAAAGAGAGATTATACCAGAAATTATGTTAGAAATAGCAAAACATTGCATTTCCTGCAGTCTGCTAATTTATGTCTGCGTGAGACTTCTTGTCTTCTTGTCTGTTGGAAAATTGTCTTTACAAAAAATATTTCTACTAAAATTTTAATATTGATTTTAATATCAATTAGCTCTAAAAGTTGAGGGGCTGCATGTTTGACACAGCTTATCTAGACAATCGGCTCAAAGATGGTGGTAAGATTGTGAGCCTTACGCACCGGCCGCACTTTATTCCTCAGTCAAATTATTAAATTAATTGCTGGTACTCATTTCTGTTGGAGGCTGAGTGAATCCCAGGGCCATAATGCGGCTGGAAGGATTAGGTCAACTGAAAAAAATCCAATGACCTCATCGGGATCCGCGACCTTCTGGCTTGTAGCACAGCCCCTCAACCAACTATGCTACATATATATTAGTGATTTTTGAAACATTTTAATGAACATTTTAGTGAATTAAATGTGTATTAGTGTCACCTAAATCTATATGATATTGTTGCATTATAGACGAAGAAGGCTACGAGGGAGACACGTACTTCAATGAAACAGGATGCTGAAATATAATATTATGAAATTGATATTCATATGTTGAGTCTGGTTATTGATTTATGAGTGAACAACATACAGCAGTAATGTGGTATGCATAGCTCATTAGTTCTAAGTGAAAATTTGTTGTATATGACTTTCTCACTGATTGAGAGAAGTTTATAAGAGATAACACAGCTAACTCTTTGGAGGAAAAGTCTTTGTAAGAATATGATAGTTGCTTAGTCAAGAAATCGCTTGCTTTTATGGAACCTGAAGGTTCATCATGTTCACAGGAGTCCGCCTTTTGACCCTATCTGAAGTCAGATGCATCCAGTCCAAACCGTCATACTTTCTGTATTCTTAGATCAGTTTTATATAATATGTCACATATAGGGGTTGTGCGTGACTTATAAGATGGGTTTTGCATTGGATGATGGGATTTATTAACATTTTATACATTCACACAGTATGGGCTACAGGCAATTACAGAGCTATCGCCGGTTTACACACTTAACAGTTGACCGTTGTGCACGCATTAGGATTCTCAGTCTTCACTGGTCGTATCCTGGAAATGGATTTATCACAGTCTCACTGTAACTTCAAATCACATGTGAAATCTTCTTCTTACAATGTAATTCCTTTCTTGCCATTTCTTCTCCGTCACCCTTGACTGCCATCTCCAGAACTCAAACGAATTCTCTTCTGACTACTGTTCTGTACTCCCTCTTTCTTCTTCTACCCCTGTCCTGCCTAAAACTTCTTATAACCACTTTGCACGGACCCCATTGTCTTCTGTTGTACAGAATGCATGTTTACTGGTCTGTTACATAACAGTGAATGCCCTCCTGTTGTTGAGCACTTGTGTTGCGGGAATGTTTTTACGAACCCTTTGCTTAGCAATGGGTATGCACGTCACAATATATTTTATTATATCATTGTTATCTTCCAATTTATGCCTAGGGCACCAAAGGGGCACTTTTTCTGTAGGTTTTCTAACCAGAATTTCTTATCCACGTATCTGTGCTACATCATTAGCCCATATTTTTCTCCATGAGGTATGATATATACACATAAAATAAGAAATAAATATATTATATATATAATTTCATATAGCAGAGACCTTCAGAAACTGGTAGTTTCTCAACTAATCAAGAAATGTTCTGCCTTTTATGGAACCCAGATGTTCATAATAGTGAAGGTAAACATGCAGGACACTTAAATGTATTGTCACACATCAGTGACTACACACGAGCTTTGGATTGATAATTGGACTTGTTGGATGCTTATAACTCGTAACTACAAATAGTCGTACCACTACCGTTACGAGTCACCACTGCGAACACTAAGTCTTCTTAGTTTATCTTCACTACCCATTGCTCGCATATGGTTCCAAACAATGTAGATTTTTCTGCTGGCTACCATCTCACAACTAGTCAACTGTTGACTCGGCTGGTGTCCTCATTATACAGCGTTGGCATGGACCACATAGATAACATTGCTTCCAATTCCTATGCCATTGCTTGTTTTTTGTTCCTGCGGAAGTGTCTTCATCTTGTTACAAAGTAGCGGCTGTCTTCGTCAGTCATAATGTCACATTGTTCCCTCCTTAAGACTGCTCATCCCGAGTAGCCTGTAGGCTCATCACTATTTCTTCTTCCACCTGAGAGGTGGCCGGCTCCTCCACATTATCCTCTTACTTGTATATTGGAGTCTGATGGAAGATCTGACTTTCAGCTTTATGTTTCTTTATGCTTCGTTCTCTTATGCCGTCGATGACTTGCTTGCCTAGCTCCCTACGAAAGTGGTTGAAAGTGGTTCTCGTGTACTGCAGGAGAGGCACTGCGGGTGGACTGTTCGATGGTAGTGGCGTCTTTCTGGATGGGTTCACAATCGTCTTGGGTCCATGTTTTCAGATGATTGTAGTACTCTACGCCAATTGTTGGTTATATAACCTCAGCAAGGATTGTGTACAGAACCACTTCCAAGAATTCCTCTATTGTTGCTTGCATAATTGTTGCTGTGTAAATGTGTTTATCGAGTCATTACTAAGCAATGGGTGGCTTTGTTATTTGTCATGTCACGGTATATACTTATTCTAATAAACATTAATTTGGTTTGAACAGTATTACTTAAGATAAACTTACAGACCAGTATGGATGTGTGATGATTAGGTCACTGATAGACGTTTATGGCTGAGGTTTTGAACCAGGTGGCTGAGAAGTCACTGTGTTATGGCTGTTGTGGAAGGCATGAAACAACATGGTATGAAGATGACAACTGCCAGTCAAAGAGATGAATGGAAGGTGGCCAAGATTGATAAATTACATGTGGCTTGGTATGTTCAGGATGCAGAAGTTCATTATGCACTCCAAAATAGAGATATTAATTTATTAGTTATATTAACATGAAAATGTGTGAATTGAATGTTTCAGAGCAAGGAGTTTGTTTACTGTTCAGCCTTATCTGATGTATGTTGAGTAACTTGTCCTGATGCATGTGTGTGATGTTATTTTTCAGGGTATGTGCTCTTTGACGTTATGTGATATATGTTGTGCAACTTGTCTTAATGCTTGTATGTTGTATTCCTCATCAGGATGTTGTCCTGGTGGATACAAAATGCATGATGGGTTGGACTCAGATGGTATCCATCACAGCAGTGGTGGTGATCCTCGCTACATACCTGATCCTAACCGACCCCTTGAAATGCGGAAGAGACAAATCGGAGACATAATCCGCATAACAGCTACTCCATGTACGTTACAGTGCTTTGAATTATTCTGTGCTTGTAATATTAGGTTCATGCAGTTGTATGTACAGGGGATGGACAAAAATATGGAAACAAATGCATGCCTGAATTGAAGTGTTTATTTTAGCGATGTTTGTAGGTGACGCTGTCTTATCTGCCCAATACCACTGCCTGTACAACCTCCACAATATGTTGTAAGCTTCATTTGTTGTCGAGACATTGTTCTGTGCAGTTTTTAGTGCATGTCAGAGCTAACAGAATTCGAACGCAGGCAAATTGTTGGGGCCCGTATGGTGGGTGCTTCTGTAACCAAGGTAGCCGAGGTTTTTGGTGTTTCATGAGGCACATTATCCAGGATTATGACCTCATACAGGAGGACTGGAAAAACTGCATCCAATAAACACCAGCATGGATGGAAATGTGTCTTGAGTGATTGAGACAGATGAACATTGCGTAGGATTGTGACAAAAAATAAGAAGACTGCAGCTGCAAAAGTGGCTGCTGAACTGAATGTCACACTCACAAACCCTGTCAGCACCAAAACAGTATGAAGGGAACTCCACAAGCAGGGTATTTCTGGACGAGCTGTAATTCCAAAGTCACTCATCAGTGATCAGAATGCCACTAAGAAGAGAGTGTGGTGCCAAAGTCATAAAATCTGGAATATGGAGCAATGGGAGATGGTCATTTGGTCGGATGAGTCCACCTTCACACTGTTTCCGACTTCTGGCCGAGTTTACATCTGGAGAACGCCATCCCAAGCTTACGATCCAGATTGTTTGCTGCCAAGAGTGAAACATGGCTGGGGTTCGATCATGGTATGGGCACACATATTGTGGTATTCTGTCAGACCCATCATTACCCTGCAAGATCACGTCACTGCCAACGACTATGTGACCATTTTGGGCGACCAGGTCCATCCCATGGTGCAAACTTTGTTCCCCAATGGCGATGCCATTTACCAAGAGCCAACAATGCATGTGTTCACATAGCTCACATCGTCCAGGACTGGTTCTCTGGGCACGAAGATGAAGTGTCACGTCTGCCATGGCCCCCATAATAGCCAGATATCAATATTATTGTGCCTTTGTGGTCTCTTTTGGAGGACAATCTGCGTGCACGCTATCCACCTCCATCATCGTTAACGGACCTCGCCAATATTTTGCAAGAAGAATGGTACAAGTCTCCCTTGCAAAACATACAGGACCTCTATTTATCCATTCCAAGGAGACTGCAAGCAGTTCTGCAAGCAAGAGTTTGTCCTACACCATATTAGTCATGGTAATGTGTTTTTTGTTGGGTGTTTCCAGATTTTTGTCCATCCCCTGTATATTGGAAGTGGAGTCATACAGGACATAGTAGCTTAATATTTTGTGTTACTATTTCACATACTAATCCTGCCACAGTGCAGTTTTACATATCACAGATGACATTTGGACAGAATGAATACAGAATATATGTTTTATGAGATGAGGTCCTATTATCCTACTCCAGAATGATCTAAGTAGCATGTTTTATTACATATTCTTTCAAAGTGCATTAAATAAATGCATTATGGGAAGAGGTGTCCATACTACTGTTCAGTGTTGTGTTTTGTTTCCAAAACTACTTGATGTATTTTGATAAAATTTGGTGTTGGTCTAAACATTCATTTGACAGGTGAATTTTGTTCACTTGTATTGGTCCAGTGTCACCCATACTTTAAACGAAACAAATAAAACTCAATTTTTTTTTCAGAAAGCTTCATAGAGAATATTGGTACATAGCATAAAATACGTATCTAATTAAGATCCACAAGTTTTAATTGGAACACTTTTTGGCATGTTTAGTATTTAAGGGTATCTAATTTTTGACTTTATGCAGTTGTACTGTGATTAGCTTTGCAGTAATAGAATAATATCTGTACTAAATAGACTTGTGTTAGAGGTGATGAAAAAGGAGAAGAAATTTATTTGGAAAATGTTCGTTCTGTTGAAGTATGTCCCTCTGTTTCTGTTGTCTATGTTTGTGCTCAAAATACTGATGCCACACATCCTCACATGTTATATATACATTTCTTGCATGATGTGCCTAAAATGAAAGAGTGTGTCTCCACATGTTTCATCTTTGAAACTGCTGAATGGATTTCAGTGAAATCTGAGTACTGAGTATTTATTGCTTTTCTGTTGGCTTTTACATAGTTTAAATCCTTTTGGTTATGTGTACATGAATAGTTGTCAGGCATTTTTCAATTTTGTATGTGCTGGAACACTTGAAATATGAAACCAAATTTATCAGAAACCTCTCGTACAAGAGCTTTAAATGTGATACAAAGTACAGTAAACTGTTTTTACAAGAAACCTGGGTATAATTTTGTATATAATGGACAAAATCTGGCTGTAAACAACTGTGAGTTTATGGTGTACTTCTGTGAATACCCCTTCACTCCGTTACAGCGGCCATTGTCGATAACAGACACCCTGTCACCCCTATTAGTCCATTATAATGAGCGCCCACTATATAGATCATATTTTCGATATACGGTTTTTATTTGGAATATTTTTTGATTAAGTGTACATATATTTTATGCCGCTTTACTATTGATTAGTCATGTCAGCAATTAGTCGTGTCAACTATAAAGTTCCACCTTTAAAGCTGGTAAGGTATACACAATGCTAAAGATCACATTTTGGAAAAAAATTATAATTTATATTGTAGTACACTTCCAACTTTTGGTCTGCTAAATATTTTTGCAATTGAAAACTGTTTTAGGCCTATAAGATAACATAATATGAAACATGCATTGTTTGAACTGTATGACCAGCATGCACTTCCATGTTTGGGATTCATGGTATCATGATACAGGCTGTGGATGTACAATAACAACACTGTTTAACATGAGTGTATGTAACCATATGGTGAAGTGTGTGTATGAACAGATAGATACCTGTCACAAACATGTGATTAGGTCATTATGATAAAACTTGCTAAGTGCATCCTCATGTTTAAAGTTCCTCAGAACCCCATTGGTGAACTGTCTGTGTCTACCATTTGTCTCCATATTGAACTAAAACATCACTATCATAAAATAAAGTTCACAGTGATTGGTTTAATACAGTGATCACTTGATATATTGAGTTTTTGGACTTTATCCATCGTCCTGGTTTTTAAGATAACTAATAAAAACACGACGTTTCGGAAACTGGATCTGTTTCCGTCCTCAGGTAAAAGAAAACCAGGACGATGGATAAAGTCCAAAAACTCAATATATCAGTGTGTTATACACCATCGTCAGAATCCTATAGTAACTAGTGATCACTTGGTTTGGACATTGTCCATCATCCTAATTTTTGTTTGAGATGATGTTTCAGAGAATGTACTCTGTCTCTTTCTTCAGGTTAAAACTTACTCCATTGGACTCAGTCAATAGAGCTAGTCCATATAGCAGACACAGAAGTAGCACAAACCATGATATGTAAACCAAACAGTACTGTAACCATCTGAGGGTGTTAGATAAAGAGACATTCGGCCGCATACATAAGACCTTGCAGTTATGGCTGTGCATAATTTTCCTACCAGAGTCCATACTACTAGAGCCCAACTTAAAATTGGAAGTTTATAAAAATTAACCTAGTTAAAAAGGGGAGCTATAAATATTACAACATTTATTAATCAGTCTTTTGGACTTAAACCATTGAGCTTCAAAAGCTTTAATAATACAGTGAATCCAAAAACACAGATGATTAAAATTAAAGTAGGTAAAGATTTCCTGTTTACCAGTAAGAACTGTACAACAATACTGATGAGTATTAAACAGAAACACCTGCATAACACCGACATAAACTCATCCCATGGAACGCAGAGTTGGAATTTTCCCATATATCCTTAAACTGGATGAAGATGTAACTTGCTGACCTTTAATGATAGGAGTTCAGATGGGAGGGTTATCCAACCTTGGTTGACTGATCAGATGAGCTACCAGAGGCATATAGCCTGATTCCTTGTACTTTCTATAGGTATTATTAGGTTAAATCTGTAAAACATAGCTTCTTTCATCATATTTGGTGGCTGTTTACATATGCATGTTGGGCTAATTTGATTTTTCCTAATAGACCTTGCATCACCTTTATATCTGTGCTCTATATTGCATATTTCCAAAGGTGTACCTATTTTGCCAGTGCAGCATCTGCCATAATTACAAGAAATACTATACACACATTGCCTCATCTGCTGGGCATCTCTAACAGGTCCAGCTTTCATCAGTATCTTACGGAGTGCATGGTTAGTTTTCAAAATGGTTTTAACTGTCATTTCCTTACTGGAGAAGGGTGGGTAAGAGATCCCCCAATCCGAGAAAATGAGGACAGAACTCTGATTCCTACTGTAGGTTTCAGATTTAATTTGCTTAGTGGGGGGTGGAGTCCAACTGGGTCCACTCAGCACAGCAGCCATTGATCGGCCTCTTGTAGCCTGCCCCCGTCATTATGACGGAGAATTTGGTGGAATGAAGATTGGTGGGGGAAACCAACGTACTCAGAGAAAACCCGCCCCAGTGCCACTTTGTCCACCACAAATGCCACTTGACCAGAACTGGGATCGAACCCGGGCCGCCGCGGTGGGAAGCCAGCAACTAACCGCTTGAGCTCTGGTGCGGCCTAGGTTTCAGATTTGGTCTTACAGTAGTTTAAGATTTTGAAGGAGGTGTTTATTTCATTCATTTATTTCATTTCTGTTAATCCAGGCTGGTACAACCGTTGGATATAGAGGAAGTCAAAAAACATGCAGTCATAAAAAGATTTTGTCAAAATTAAATATAAGATTAACAAGCAAATATAAATATTACAAGGTAACAATTTAAAAAATTATAACTATAGATAATATTTTGAATTAATAATCAGATAAAACAATTCAAATTATCTAACTTTGTACATAAAAAGTTATCCACTATATAAAATGAAATGAAATTTTAATACCATATTAGCACATCTGTTACCGCACTCAAGTCATGGAAAGTTCAATCATTTTATAAAAGTGTGCTAATTAATAGAGGTACAACCACAAAACTACTTGAGCATAAAATACTACCAGTTTGTAATCAGCAGTCATAGAACAAGAAAAAGATAATAAATGATCATAAAATATAACAACAATTTAATGCTGTCTAGGTGGTTAACTAGTTTTATGCTTAAGAAACTCATCAACAGTGTAAAAACAATGCTCATATAAATATTTTTTTAATGCTCTCTTAAAACTTTTAATGTCAGATGCCAGTGCTTTAATATTGTGGCTTGTTTCAAGTTAGTGTCCTGGAATTCTGTTGAGACTGAGGAAAACAGTGAAAATCTCAGTCAGGGTAATATGGCTGAGAACTGATTCACAACTTGGCAATTGAAATGATGATATAGGGTCAGATGGTAAATGATCAGTGAATTGCAAAGGATTTGATAGATGTGGTTATTTCCTAGTCAAAGCAGTATCCTGGCATTTGCCTGGGGAGACTGAGGAAAACCATGTTAGACATCAGTCAGTCTAGGCAGTATCCAAAACTAGTTTCAAACTGAGTATTTCCTGAATAAGTTAGGAGCATTACTGCTACACCAGAATGGTCAGTTATCATACCGTTCTCTTATTTTAATTATAGCAGTTTCTTTTTATATGTGCCACAATTGAGGTCAGTCCTGATTTGGCATTATAATAATGATCCACAACTTTATGGAAGTTTTGAATCCATAATTCTCATTCATCATTCATTACACTTCTGGCATAAAAAGCAGATTAAAAGTTCCCTTTACAGCAATGATCTGTAACGCTTGTATGTTTTCAGTTTGTTGTGTAAATTTGAACATATTTGAAAGATATGCATTTTCCAGATACAAGAAGAATTATTTCTTCTTCCTAACGTTATTTCTCTATCTTGGTCTCTTTTTCTTTCAGAACAGAAAGATAATAGGAATGAAGAATGAAGTAAAGAAAAAAGACAGAAAATTGGAATATAAATTTACACTCTGAATAGTCTTTTCAGTAAAATGCTTAGTAGTTCCTTATAATGTGCGATTGTCCATGTGAACTCATAATTACATTTGCAGCCTGCTTAACTTCTACAGTGCTTGCATCTAATATTTTTATTTTCCACCAAATGTGATATTATTTTTGCTGCATCCTGCTGAATGGTTTGGTTGAATGCTCGGTGTGGTCATCCGCTGTTTGTGTGTGAGGACAGTAAATTTGTCCATTTGTTGCAGTTCCACAACAGCGGGGCCGTGTAGTGGTGGCTGTGTACAACTATCAGGCCCGTGAAGACACGGATGTGTCGTTCACTAAAGGTGACCGGATGGAGGTTCTTGATGACAGGTGAAATACTGCATAATTTTGATATAGTCACATGATAATAGCTTGGTTCTAAGGCAGGCAATAGGAAGACTTTTCTCACTGAAGACCAGTGACAACTTGGTCAACTTAATGTCCTTGTGATATTGACTACAAAACAAACAAACAAACAAACAAAACATTTCTCCTGAGATTTCTCTTAAATATGTGTAAAGATAGTCCTTATATACTAGAACTCATCATAACCATATGTCTAGGGAAGAAAACATTACTGTTTTCTGAGATATGATGCTATATAATTTTATAAATAAGTACCAATGATTTGGAGAAACCTTCTGCCTCCATATTCAGGGTAGAAGTGGAGGCATCAAGTTTCCTTGAAGTATTGCTATATAACTACCGAACTACTTTATGCAGTGCCACATATCAAAATATGTTGGTCTTCATCAGCACTGCGTTGAGAACCTCAGATCTCAACTATGGCTGTGATTCTTGAGATCAGTATGAGGCTTTTTTTTTATTGCTAGTGGGGTGGGACTAAGTCCCTTGTACTGCAGCCACTTCTGGCCTATTGTACCAGCCCCGGATGATAGGTGAGGGTGATTGTGGAGCAATTGGTGGAATGAAGATTGGCAGGGGAAACCGAAGTACTCAGAGAAAACCTGCCCCAGCGCCACTTTGTCCACCACAAATCCCACTCGACCAGACCCGGGATCGAACCCGGCCCGCTGTGGTGGGAAGCCAGCGACTAACCGCTTGAGCTATGGCGCAGCGAGTATGAGGCTTACTCTTGTAAGAGAATAAAAGAGTATATCTAACGAGAACAGTAGATCTCTAGTTTGAATGATAACGTTTTATGACTGTCAGTGGTTTGAGCATCTAGAGATAATGACAGATGATGCAATCACTGAATTTCCCTGGACTTAATAGACCACAAAATGTATTCTGTATTGAAGGATCCTTTTGATTTGCGTAGAGAAGTTAAGGAACAAATAATATTAGGTAAACAAAAAAGATGGTGATAAGCCAGATCAATTTTCAGTTGAGGCTGAATGATGATCTAAGACATGAATATCTTGTGAATTGTTTTTTGAAGGGATAGCATAGCGTAGTTGGTATAGTGACTGGCTACAGGCTGGACAACCGAGCGGTTGGAGTTCGAGTTCTGGTAGGGACAAGAATTTTCCCTTCTCCACTTTGTCAAGAACGGCTCTGGAGCCCACCCAGCCTCCTATCGAATGGGTACTGGGGGCATTTCCCTCAGGGATAAGGTGGCAGGGGTGTGAAGCTGACCACTCACCTCGAGCTAGTGCCGAGGTCAAGAACGTGGATCTATACATCCATTCCCCTATTTGCCTTCATGGTGTAGTGCTTAATTAGTTAAGCAGAGGGACAACTTTACTTTTTATACCCTTAGTGTGTAGATACATTCATCACCACTGAAAATCCTAAGATATCTTGGAATCTGGGAGACTGAATATTTTCATTATAGCTTCTTTGTAGTGTTTTTCATTCTCTCTAATGAAATACTGAGTTAGATCTGTTGTCACCACTTCATTCTATGTCCTTTACAGTTTATCATTGAAAATCATCCTGCCATTTTGTGATATATATTCCATTAAAATAACAAAAATCCGCTGAATATATCAGTGGTATAGTTTACAAACCCAGTGAGGACCCAGTAATAGATTTCCAGTGTCCTAGGTTGGCCACAACATGTAGGCATGGAAATTTTGACTGAAGAATAGAACAGATACTGCAATATGTATAGTATTTTGACATGAAATGACTGCACTCTGAGAAATGGTCAGAAATGCATTTGCCTCTACCCTCATGCAGTTACAAGTAATATAATTAGCTATTCAGCTCCCCTTGTTTGTTGTTCCCCTTCATCATCTTCTTCCTTGACTCCTCTTCTTACTTTCCTCTTTGGGTGCACAGTATGTCCTGTCTCAGGATAAACTTGTCAGTAATCTTGGTGACAAACAGCCAGATGTGCAGAGGACGCTGCCCCAGGGTCACCTTCTTCAAGACAGAAAGGGTCTGCCTCATGCCATTTACAGAACACATGGCCAATGTGACTCTCTCTTTGGCAGTCCTGTGATGATATCTGTCCTGGTGATGTTCATGTATGCCTCAGCGTTGATGATCAAGAAGAATGGCTTGGTCTTTATCTAGCCCATGGCATTTAGGTTGTCATTGCTCCTCTTGGCTGACAGAGTTGGAAATTATGGGGAAGATGATGTTAACATCTTCTCATCTTCCATTTCTTTCTCAACTCCTGTTTGACCTCCCCTGTGAAACCTCTACCAGCAGCTTCTTCTGAGATGACCAGCATACAGGTTGCTCAGTCCTGCGGCATTGAATCCATGGTGGCCATGTTACCACTCACACACTCACAGCCTTGCTGGTGGTTCACCTGCTGCCTTTGCAGCCTCCAGATGCAGGCCCTGGTTGAAAGATTCATTGAGTATCCTGTTATGGCCATGAGAAGATGCTCCTTGCTTCACATCTTGGTCTTTCACCCTGTCACTGAATGCATAGGCTGCCTTCTCCTGGATGTAGTCCTTGGGAAACGTGGCAGGAGTCTGGTGGGCCAGCTGTTTGATGGCTGCAGTGAACTCTTGGAGCAGCTTGCTCTTCAACTGGGTCCTTGCCTTCAGTTGGGAGTAGTATGCTGTGGCCAGTTGGCCCCTCTAATGACCATGAACCATCTTGGTTTCTGTAGAGTGAGTAGGTGTGTGGTGTTCTCATGGGCTGTCCAGCTGTACTTCACCACAACATCGAAATGTCTATGAAACATGGTCCAGGACATGGAACCATTGAATGTCAGTGGCCTTACCCTATCCGTGCTGGCCACTGTGTTCCTATATCATCCATACCATTATTAAGCTTTGACATCCGCGATTTTTTGTTCTGAATTCCAGCTTTGTGGGTTATATCAGCATCTTCATCACTTGTATGTCCAGTTGTGTTCCTGGGATCTCAGTGTTGAGCTCCTTTTGGAGGCCCTGAGCCTGCTGCTCAACAGATGCCAGAACACACTCTGTCTGTTTACTAATGGATCAGATTCTGCCTTGGCAGACTGGTTGGCACTTATTGTAGCCTTCACTCCTTCTTGGGCAGCTCTTGCCTCTCTTAGACATTCCAACCTATCCATAATCAGTTTCCAAGTTGGCTGCACTTCCATTTCACTATCCCACTTCTGACAGCAGCGTCACCTGAAATGACTGTGCTCTAGGTAGCTGCTAGAAATGGTCAGAAGGCACTGATAGACCCTAGAGAAGAATTATGCTTGAAAGTGAAAATGCCTTATCCTACACGTGGAACAAGCTTCTACTGAAGTGAGTTACAGCGTTCATTTCCGAGGCCCCACAAGTAGAGTTTGGGACACCTATTACTGGAATAAACCAAGGAACAACAGATATGAGTTTCTTAATTACTTTTCACCTGGCCATTCAGCATTGTTCTGGATCATTGCTGTTGAAGCACCCTGCCCCAGAAAACATAGAAATATAGTGAGTGACCACTGAGGGGTCCAAGTGGTGGAAAGCATAGAAAATAGCAAAACAGATATAACAGCATTACTTTTGGGACGATAAAGAAGATTGGAGAAACTTGTGTCTTGCAATTACTGTCTCTGGTGAAATTTTAGTGTCTAGTTGATATACTCTTATGTGCTGTCATTTAATAGCGACTACACAGTGGGGTGAATTTATTTGACACTGATTCACTTGAATATAAAAATTTGTAAGTATTCACAGGGCTTCACAGTCCCTTAGATTGTTCTTGCTGTAACATCACAGACCTCATCACTAGGGTTCAGGCATGTCTCATCACAGGCTCTTGTTAGCATGCAGGATCCCTGTATATCACCTTGTTATGGACCAACGAGACAGTGCTGAGTCCCACCATTGTGAGCATGTCTGTTGCTTGGGATATGTGTTTTGTCATGACTAGGGCCAGGAATTTTTTGAAAATGCATATGCGCATGTGCAAATGCATATTTTGAGGGTTTTTGGTCGTTATTGCATATTCTAAACGTAAGAGCATATTTCTGCATATACATGTATGTTTGAAATTAAGGATAATTTCAATATTCTCTAACAAAATCGGTTTTACCTGTGTTTTGGACATCCCTTGCCAGTTGCTATTCTCAACTCTCTGAGTAATGGCACTTTTACCACTTACAATACAAGCAGGTAGCTTGGCTATTTCGAAAGGGAGGGTGTGGGATTTTCCTGCATTCCATTGACCACCATAGCAGACAGTAGCATCAGAGGGCTGGTCTTGAGAAAAGCCTCTTCAGTTAATATGTTACTCTTTTCTTTAATAGTCTACATAAAAAAGTGTTGGTGTACTGAAAATGCCTAAAGAAAAGTGCAGCAGTAGATATTTAAAAAATCAGTGGGTGTCGGGTAATAGTGATTATTCAACAGACGGTGTCGTTGTGTACTGTCAAGTTTGCGCAAAGGAAGTAAAATGTGAAAAGAAATTTCAACTTGAACAACACTCAAGAATGACTGCACATATTGCGGCAAAGAAGGGGAAGAAGAACAGCACACCACAACAATTACTACATACACAGGTCAAACCAAAGTCCTTTGTTAATACGTTTTCAGTGATTTTTGTAAGGCTTTAGTATGCAGCAACATTCCATGGAATAAATTAAGCAGTCCAGTTCTGTCATCATTTCTGAAGTAATATTATGTAATTAAAAAAATCCCAGATGAATCAACTCTTAGAAAAAATTATCTACCTTTGCTGTATGAATCTACTCTGGAGTCAATCTGTTCTGACATTGGGGAGAACTGTGTCTGGATACCAGTGGATGAGACATCCGATTTATGTGGCTGATACACAGCAAATTTCATAGTTGGTAAGCTACACCCGGCAAACCTCATCTTGCTTGCAAAGTACTAGAGAAAACCAACCATAGCACAATAACAAGATTTGTAAATGATTCTCTGTGACTACTATGGCCATCTGAAATTGAGAATAAGTGTTGTAAGGTGCTTGTGTTACTCACAGATGGAGCTTCCTATATGTTGAAAGCAGCAAAGGCCTTACAAGTATTTTATCCAAATCTTATACACATAACCTGTTTAGTGTACGGATTACACTGTATTGCAGAAAAAAATACTTGCACAGTTTCCAGCTGTTAACGATTTAATTGTAAGTGGAAAAAAAGAACTGTTTCTGAAAGCACAAGCTCTTGACCAGTTCTACAAAGATTGCCTACCTCAGGTTCCTCTTCCACCTGAACCTGTCCTAGCTAGGTGGGGGAGATGGTTATCCTCAGTTTCATTTTATCAGGAGAATTTCAATCAAGTAAAAGAAGTGGTTACAAAACTTGAAGATGAGTATGCATGCGTCCATGAAACAAAAGTGGTGTTTGGAAGTGATACTGTTTATCAAGATGTGAATTTTATCCATGCACATTTTCCTGCAATTTCAAAAGCCATTGAGAGCTTAGAATCGTGTGGTGCACTCCTTCACAACTCACTTGAACTTGTTCAGAAAGCAACTTGTTCACTGAATTCCGCTCCAAGCGAAATTGGAGAGAAGATTAAATGCACGTTAGAAAAGGTGTTGAATTCGAACCTAGGACTAAAAAAAAAAGATTCAGTCAATTAGACAGTATTTGAGTGGAATTAGGGTATCTTAGTCAGACGAATGTTCCGAACCTTCGGCACCAGTGTATAAATACTGTCCAATCACGTCAGTTGATGTAGAAAGATGATTCTCAGCCTATAAACTCATTTTGATGGACAACAGACGTAGTTTGTCTCCAGAAAACACCGAAAGACTTCTAGTTGCCTATTGTGATGCTACTTTCTGCAGTGAATGATACATGTAAATAGGTGAGTCTGAATAAAGTGACCTGTTCCTTAAGTGCATATTTTCCCGCTTTTTAGCACATATTTTAAGTGTTTTAATGCATATTTTAAGTTTTTTTAGTGCATAAAGATCCAGGCCCTAGTCATGACCTAGTAAAGAATGCCTCTGTTTTTTCTGTGAGTCCAAGATTCTGAAGTTTCTGGATTTTAGCCATCCTTTCAGTATTTTAATGTATAATGTGGTGCTTGTTATGTTGCAGTGAGTCAGATTGGTGGCGAGTGAGACACCTGCAGACACGAGAAGAGGGGTTGATCCCCTGGAATTTTGTAGCTGAAGAGAAATCTGTAGAGAGTGAGGAGTGAGTATATGCAGCACTCTGTTTGGGGCTTGTATGTATTTGTGCTGTGCATGGGTGGAGGGTTCAGCAGTGTACTTGGATGTGGCTTAGTAAACACTGGTATGCTCAAATTATTTAATGTATAAACACCTTGCTTTATCAGTTCTTCTAAATGAACACATTACAATTTATAGTGGGAATTATGCAGTTAGTAGATGTTATACTGAATATTTGTCGGATCTGGTGTGTTTTCTAGAAAGTTTCTAGTGCTCTGATGTGCCAAGTGAAGGAATGATAGTTTTTCAGTTTTATTTTATTAATTTCTTTTTGCATAGACCCATAGATGATTCAGTTAGGAGGGAAGTATTGTACAATATTCTGATAGAATTTGGGATACCCATGACATTAGTTAGGCTGATTAAAATGTGTTTAAATGGATTGTATAGTGAAGTCCATATAGGTAAACATTTGTCTCATAATTTTCCTATCCAGAATTGTCTAAACCAAGGAGCTGCTTCATCGCCACAGCTTTTCAACTTTGCTCTAGAATATGCTATTAGGAAGGTCAGGAAACCAGGTGGGACTGAAATTAAATGGGTCACATCAGCTGTTGGTCTATCCTGATGATGTGAATCTGCTGGGTGGTAATATAGATACCATAAAAAAAAAAAAAAGCACACAAACTTTAATTGACGCTAATAAGGACGTTGGCCTAGAAGTAAACATAGAGAAAAAGCGGCCTCCATAGTCTAGGGGTAATGTTCCCACCTCATGACTCAAGGTACATGGGTTCAAACCCGTCGGAGGTCGTGGAATTTTTAAGGGTGGAAAAATTCAGGGAACAAGTCCTCCTGGAGGGTCTTTAAGCCGTGGGTCCTGTGTCATAGATTTACGTCATGTAAAAGATCCTCATGTCTCTAGGAGACCTCTGAGCAAAATTAGGCAAAATGTTTCCTGCCAAAGTAGTTTCCAATGCCTCTGGTAGATGGGGAAGTTATCGGGTACCAATGCCAATAGAGGGTTGACCTTGCTGGCAGAAAGGGGAGAATTATCGGGTACCACTGCCAGTAGAGGGCCGACCTCGCTGTCAGAAAGGGAGATAGTGGGCACCAGTATCGGTAGGGTATGGCGACAGTAGAAATTAAAGGGGAATGTACAATAGACTATTAGTCGCGGTGCATGGGGAAACCCACCCCATCTATACTGAATAACTGAATAACTGAAACACAGAGAAAACTTAAGTATATGTTCCTGTCCTGTCTCCAAAATGCAGGGAAAATATCATGACATAAAGATAGGTAACAGATGTTTTGAAAATATGGCACAGTTCAGATATTTGGAAACAACTATAACAAATCAAAACCTGATTTAGGAGGAAATTAAGAGGAGGCTGAACTCAGGTAATGCTTGCCACCATTCAGTCCAGAACCTTTTGTCCTCTCGTCTGTTGTCTAGTAACATAAAAATTAGAGTATACAAAACTATAATTTTGCCTGTGGTTCTGTATGAATGTGAAACTTGGTCTCTGACATTAAGGGAGGAACATAGACTGAGAGTGTTTGAGAACAGGGTGTTGAGGTAAATGATTGGACCAAAGAGAGATGAAGTGACTGGAGGTTGGAGAAAACTGCATAATGAGGAACTTCATAACTTGTACTCTTCTCTAAGTATAATTAGAATGATCAAGTCAAGGAGGATGAGGTGGGCAGGGAATGTAGCACGAATGAGGGCAAATAGGAATGCATATAGCATATTGGTGGGAACGCCAGAAGGAGAGAGACCACTGGGAAGACCAAGACACAGGTGGGTGGGCAGTATTAAAATGGATCTTAGAGAGATAGGATGGGATGGTATGGATTGGATTGATCTGGCTCAGGATAGGGACCAGTGGTGGGCTCTTGTGAACATGGTAATGAACCTTCGGGTTCCATAAAATGCTGAGAAGTTCTTGAGTAGCTGCACAATTGGCGGCTTCTCATGAAGGGCTCAGCTCCATGAGTAAGTTATACCCAGTGATGCTGATCACACTGGCCATGTGGTCTGAGGCATAAACTGTCTTCATCCACTCAAACACTGGGATTGTGTTTCAAATCCCTCTTGAGGCATGGATGTCTGTGTGTGTTTGTCCAGTGTGTAGGTAGCAGCCTTGTGATGGGCTGATCCCCCATCCAATGAGTCCTANAAGAAATTTATTTCCTAAATTGTATCAGTCAGACAGGAAAATGAAAGATGACCTAAAATGCTGTTTCACAAGAAATAATTGTAAATTGTGTGCTAACATCATAAGGAAGCAAAGTTTGACACAAGATACCCAAATTTTTTAACATGCTGACTCAAGAAATGCTGTTTATTTTACACTGTTAGAAATGTGTGCAAACTCTCTCTTTTAAATAAGTGCTGTGTAAGTGCATTTTTATGCCAGTGCATTATGATATTTCTGTGTATATCCACAGCTGGTTCTTCAAGAAAATATCAAGAAAGGAAGCAGAGAAGCTGCTGTTAGCTGAAGAGAATGCACGAGGCACATTTCTTGTGCGATGTAGTGAGCATAACCCACAGGGATACTCTCTGAGTGTTAAAGACTGGGAAGAAACACGTGGTCATCATGTGAAACACTACAAAATCAAACCCTTGGACAATGGGGGCTACTACATTGCTACCAACCAGACATTTTCTACTCTGCAAGCCTTGGTTCTTGCCTACACTAGTGAGTGCTGGAAGCAATTAGTCTTTGTATCTAGTATTCTGTTTAACTCATTATCTAGTAATAATATACATTTTGGGCATCTTAGTGTTGTGTGTATCACATGTTACCTAGAGCATGTAGGTTTCAAACTTTTCCTGTGTCTTGTGTTGCACCTGTCAGGAAGATAAATGCAGCATTATAATCCAACATGAAATGAAGACTTGTATGAGTATTTCGTGTATGTATCTGGGTACAATTACTGCATGTCCTGAAGGTTTAAAGCATTTTTTCTTGTATTTACTAATATTTAAACATTATTTGGTAACATAAATACTTTTCACATTTATAATTTTAATGTGAAGTTAATAATATCATATTGTGATCTGCTATTGCAGAAATGTATTCACAAAACTCCCAAGAAACATAGTTTGAGAATTAGTGTAATACTTGAATTCACTCACACTGTGTGAAAGTCTCACTGCAGCGAGTTTTTGTTATGCTTCTTAAATGCATGCTCTGTGTCACAAGTGATGAAATATTAAAAGAGGTTTATAAAATGAACACAGAAGAAAAAATGGCCAAATTTGTTCTGGTTACACACTGATCTAATCCTAGGCTGAAATATCTGAGAATTTCCTGAGTTCATGTAAGTAACTGAGGATGCCAGGTGGTTTACAAAATTCAACATCAGCAAATGTAGGAAAATATATGTGAAATTTATTTTTCAACAACTAGTTCACTGAGAAGGTAGCGAAAAATATATTTGTCACTTACAAATTTTCATTTTACATTATCATCAAATACCATTAACCTTAGTTGGTAGCATTTTGTTGTATAAGTGACCAAGATTCTGCTAGCAGGCAGCTCCTGCTAATATGTCACAGAGCAAAATCCCTTAAAGCTAAAATCTTAAACTCATTCCATAGTCCAAAATTTCACTCAAGCTAGCTGATTAGCCCCTTCTCTATATGAGAATACATGTCTCCCTAACACAGATATCTGAAACTTCTTCATCTTTAAAGCCTCTTCATCTCAAGCCTGCACCACCGTGGGAGAACATTAATGGTCATATTCATTGTTGCATCCAGTCTGCTTCTTATTTTACCATCATAGTCACTAGAATCCAAACCAGGGTCATGTGTGGTGACATAAAATCTAAATTTTGTTCATGTACTCTCTTTCTGTTCCCAGAAAACTCCCTGGGTTTATGCCATGTGCTAGCCAGACCCTGTCCAAAACCCAGACCTCAGATATGGGACCTGTCCCCTGACCTCAGAGACCAATGGGAAATTGATCGTTCAGAGGTGCAACTTCTCCGTAAGTTGGGCCATGGTAACTTCGGGGAGGTGTGGTATGGTGAGTACCATTAATGCTGACATAACAAAATTTTGGAGGCTTGTCTTTTGAGTCTTTAACTATAAAAGTATAAAGTGGCCCTGTGGCACCACAACCTTTCCTAAACAGGAAATATTGAAATCATAATTGTGAACCAGGAAGTATGGAAAGCTTGTAACAAAATGAATGTGGCACATCTGCAACTGAGTTGTTCTTATTATAGCACCGTGCATTGAAGCCATACTGTCACACTGACATATGTGTCTGTCTGTGTATCTATCTATGGCTCAACAGCCCTTGTGGATCTTGACTGCCTTTTCAGTTTCTTAATCTGTGCACAGTTGATAGGACTCCTTGGATGGGGGATCAGCCCATCACAAGGCCGCTGCCTACGCACAGAACAACACAAACACAGAATTGATGCACAGAGAAATCCATGGCTCAGGTGGGATTTGAACCTATGGTCCCAGTGTTTGAGCAGGTGAAGACAGTTAATGCCATAAACTGCATGGCCACCGTGATCGGTGCCACACTGATGTACAGTCCATTTTACTGAATTACTAAACTTGCAGCACACAGTGCCCCCTCACTGGATTCCCCCATTCTAGCCATGTAAAAAATGTTCCCAATTCCGAACCATTAGCTTCCCATGGCCACCGTGTACTAATGGGTGTCATATTCTGCTTGTGTAGATCTGCTTATAGATGATACTGCTGCAAAAAGTTTAATACATTCTCAGAAGGGACAAGCATGGCTACCTTGTTTCCATCATATGCACATGAAATTGCTGCATTTTTAAAGAGAAAACTTTCTGCAGGCAAAATGAGTGCAAGAAATTTTGTGCTTAGAAACCTAAATGTTTGAAATTATGGTGGGTTTGTTACGACAAGAATGGAAAGATATACTCTAAAGTGGAAGACAACGCGTGTGTGTTGTATGTCTTTCATCGTTTACTAGAGTTGGTGTTCATTTATTGCAGGTAGAGATTTGTTGACAGAGCTAGTCAGAGGTACAGACACTTCATAGAGTAATAAAAAGCTAATCAGTAGTAGTCAAGATTTAAAGATTTTATCCATTATTGAAATTAAATATAGACTATGTTTGAAAATATTTGAAATAACAATTATAAATCTTAGTACATTTTGTATATTGTCATGACATTTAAAAAAATTGGAAAAAGCCACTGTTGACCAAATCTAATAAAACGGTAAATTTCAGTTTTATGAATAAGGATAAGATGGCTTAATATAGGCACCCACACCCCCATACCAAATTTAGTTGAAATCAATAAATTTTAAGATCAAATATTGATGGATAGATGCAAGGATGTGTAGTTACAATCATCCATTGTGTATTCATTTTATGCTTTCTGTGTACTGAAGCATGATAAAAATACTCCTTCACTTTTTTCTTGGTTGGTAAAACATTTCAGAACATTTGAGGGTGTATTCTATGCAGAGTAAATGGGGCCAAATTAGTAAATGGGCTGGGATATCTTAGTAAAGTCTCTTGAGAGGGATATCAGTTTTTCTATTTGCCATCACATCCAGATAAGCTGAAAGGCCAGCCCATTCTTATAGCCAATGATTACTGGGTTATCTTTCTCTTGTAATGCCACCAGAGCCAGTCACTCAACTATAGCTAATGCTAAATTGAAGAAAATGTAAAGTTTGTCAAGAAGCCTTCATAACATAATGCTTAGGTATAAGGGTAATTTCATTTCACCAAATTGAAGTATACTGAAATGTACACATAACTTGTGTAGGAAAGTGGCGAAACAACATTGAGGTTGCTGTGAAAACGCTGAGGCAAGGGACAATGTCAACACAAGCATTCCTGCAGGAAGCTTCAATCATGAAGAAGTTCCGGCATGATCGTCTGGTGGCATTGTTTGCAGTCTGCTCCAAAGAGGAGCCAATCTACATTGTTCAAGAATACATGTGCAATGGGAGCCTGCTCGAGTTCCTCAGAAATGGGGAGGGCAAGAATCTACAGTTTGGGGACCTGGTGTATATAGCAGCTCAGGTATATTAAAGAAGGCATAAAAATTACAGTAATTGGCATATCGAGTGAACAGTTGTAACAGAGTGCTGCTAGATTCTGAATGCCTTTTACCATGACATACTAGCAATCACTGTCTTGGTAACACTAAAACATTTAAATACTGAATTTATATGTCCACTTTATTCCTTTACTAATGTTCTGACTTCTTACTCTGCTGGGAGAAAGACATCAGTGAACTGTATTTCATGAAACTTCCACAGTTTGTGATCAATAGGAGAGTTGTCTGGTATATGTTTGCATTCACTCCATAGTTATCTTGAATAAAGCAGAGTTTTTCTGTTTCTAGTATTATAAAACAGAATTGTTTGATCTTTTCATACACCCGGTGTTGTGGTGGAGTGATTAACACTCTTGCTCAGATTCAGGTATCCAGTATCAGATTTCTGTATAGAGCCTCTCCCTCCCTAGGTTTTTGATGTTTCTTCTCACTACCAGACATAATAGGGATCTGGACCTAAATCTCTATCTGTATGGGGCAGGTGCCTTAGTATAGATGTAGAATACCCCAGTCAGTTATAAAGGGTATTCAAGTACATGACACACATTGTATCACAACAAGAAAAATAACTTACAAGTTCTGTACAATAATTTTGTTCTGCTGTTCTATTTGGGACAATAATGTCTGTAAATATGTGATATTTATTCCAAACTGTTTTAACTATTTTGAAGAAAACTGTGTTTCAGCCTTCAAATAATGATAGTTATATGTAGTTCCTGGAGTGAACAATTTTGCACCTTTATCAGTTGATGTGATGCTAATAGGGAAGTAGACCAAGTTGATCCCCATTCAGGGTTAGTTTTCACAATCTTCTTTTCAAGAGAGGCTGTGAGATAGATGAATGAGACAGTGAAAACTCTCAACCCAAAATGAGAACAAGACTGGTTACAAACCACCATGAAACTTGAAGAGACTGAATAAGTTAGCTCAAGTAATAATGGTTCTGACTTGTATTCCAGAGGTGTCCAGTTTGAATCTTGGCTGGGGTGCTGATTATCCTCACTGAGGTTTTGTGTGGTCTTTCTCAGCTCCTCCAGGCAAATGCCATGATAATACGAGTATCTCAAATGAGGTCATGTCCACTTCCTTCCACATCCTTTCTGATTCATCATTCACTGATCATTGTACCATTCAGCAGTATGATTCTTGAGGTGCTGACATCTTTTTCAGTGAACATAAGTAGATAAATTAAACCTGGAGACTTCAGTATATTTTTATTTTCTAGTTCCATGTCCCTCTCTGTACTTAAAATAACAGTTCNCAGTATATACTTATTTTCTAGTTCCATGTCCCTCTCTGTACTTAAAATAACAGTTCTTCAGATTTTATAGTTTTATTTTCTCTCTCCAAGCAAAAAATGTTTTCTACCATATCCCTCCAAATTCATCATTCATGACTGTCATACAGTATCTCATCATTACATAACCTCAGTAGTAGAGCATTCTGTTGTGTTGGTTGCAGGTTGCTAGTGGAATGGAATACCTGGAAGGCAAACAGCTTATCCATAGAGACCTGGCTGCCAGGAATGTTCTGATTGGTGACAATAATATTGCTAAAATTTGTGACTTTGGATTGGCTCGAGTAATAGAGGATGATGAATACTGCCCTCGGCAAGGTGAGTGCAACTTCAGACAAGGTGGGCTGTTAGTTTAGTGATAATGCTGATACAGTAACAGAATGATAGTCCCAGTTGTATTCCACTGGTCTTGCTTTGCACATTTAAAAAGGTTAAAAGGGTTTACATCGTCACAGTACTGTGTGTAAATATCTTATTTGCCTGCCTGTCCCAGTTACGTTGATGGAATCTAACTCATTGAAACCAAGTTGCTGTCCAATTTCCACTGTTATTAGTGACTTCAGCAAAATGAGTTTCAAAACCAATGAAATCATTTGCACAATATGGTATGATATGTTTCTATACTGCCCTCATGTTGCTTGCCGTTAATTCATGCCATGCTTCGCCTATATTTTCGATAATGTTTCTGATGATGTAGCTCTTCCAAAATTTTGTTACAGTAGTGCTATCCCCACCTCCTCCAGTGATAGGTGTCAGAGCTCACGAATGAACGACCCAAGCATAGGTACATACATATACAATGGGGAACCCCAGAAAAAATTGAAATATGTATCGTTTTGCATCGCATAACTTTAAAACCACATAAAAATAAACCGCACAAAAAGAGACTTGACTGTATAAAGGGAAAAAACCGATCATTTATGTATTAAAATAATTTTGTGTACTAATTTTTTAGAATTTATTTTTATTTTGCTCAATTAAAATTTAGTTTGTTTTGAAATTTTCAAACTGGACTATAGTGAATCCGGACTGATCGAAGCTGGACTATGTGAGGTATTGCTGTACCATTTGTAACTGACTTTTAGTATCCTATTGCTGTTTCCATTGATAAGAGTTACTGCTTTGTAAAACCATGTTTGCAAGCGTGCAACATGCTACCTCATGAGATAAATTGTATAAAATAAATAGGATTAGGAATATGGGCTGAGAAAACAGGCTTTATGAGTTCTACCCAGAGCTCCATGTTTTATATGTTAATTATTTATATAATGTCAGTGGGAAACTTTGAGATTGTGCGTGACAACATTCTTTGATGGTGGAAATTTTGTGTCAACTGTGAGACAGGATTTGATGAAGGAGTTCTGTGTTTCTTTGTAGGGTCACGCTTTCCAGTAAAATGGACGGCTCCTGAGGCAATAGTGTATGGAAGATTCTCCATCAAATCAGATGTATGGTCTTACGGTATATTACTCATGGAATTGTTCACTTATGGACAAGTGCCCTACCCAGGTAAGTCTGTCTTTTAGTGACTTAACCTTTAAATGCCGGACTTTTGAAATGGTGGTAAGCTTGAGCTGGCTGGAGTTTATTTAAATGCCTGCTGCTGGTGTGCGTTTAAATGCCTGTTGCTACTCTGCGTTTAAATGTCCGTTCCTGTTATGGTGCTTAAACAGTTACAAGCATTGTGTTTAAAAATGCTGTATCTAACACAGTTTTTATGATAAATGGATGTAATTAACTTTGTATCAGCAAAGAACATAGTGTCGCATATTATAACGGAAGATTTGAAAATTTTTATACAAAGAGTTATACGGTATTTTCAAATTTTTTCTTTTAATTTTGATGCATACTGCAAAAATGGTTTCCCAGTTCTTCAAAGAGTTGTTCTGCATTATAAATTCATTTCTGTTTGTAACACTTGACAAATTTTAGCAGTCCCTGGTGTTATAAAACAGATGGAAGCAATAAAGTCATTGGGTTCTCTGCTGGAAAACCTTACAACTTTGTTACACCCTTCAGATTTTCGAATCTTTTGACTAAAGGACAGAAGAATGAAAGCATGGCTATTCAAGAGAAAGCTTCAAGGGGTCCCTTCTTCAGTGCTAAGACCTTCTGTTATAGCTCCAAGAGATTATTGTCCTTTCTATGGTCGTGAACAGACAGTTGCATTGTGGCTGAGATACAGAGTGCGATCTGTTTTCTGTGTATTCATAGTAAAATCAAATACTGTAGTTTCATTTCATCCTATATATACATCAAGCAGATAACAACAAAAAAGGTATGCACATCGAATTTTACTATATATTTTTAACACATTAATTTGCAGAATCTGCAATTAAAGAACTGGCTCATGGATAAGTTTGGGCATAACTCGTGCGTATACTCTTTTGCTGTTATTCACTTAGGTATCATTTTAATTCCTCTATTAGGGTTTTACTCAAGCCTGTCTTGTAATTACTACATATAAAAATAAATACTAAGGACTGTGCATGCGCTTCCACTAGCGGAGTTTAAATATCCGACTGGCCAAAATGGGGTACTTTGACCACGATGACCATACTCATTACTGGCCCGATCGGGACACTTTGGACGCTAAAGGTTAAGGAAAGCAGAAGGCAGCTTTGCCTTGTCAGCAGTATAAAGAGGAAGCTTTGTATATATTGCAGCTGTGTAGACTTTTTAGGAGGGAATAAGACTTTCAGTCTATGGTCTTTAAGATCGATGATTGAAAATGTGTGGCAAGCATTAAAATACTTCTTTATGCACATTACAAAATATTTTGTTTTGACTGTGGTAACTGATGAATTGGAAGTTAACCTACGAGGTCAAATCCTCAGGAACTCTTGCTTGCACATCACCAGAAATGAGTAGTGTTAGATTTTGCTATTGTATAAGAGTGCCAGAAATATGCTTTAATGATGTCAATGTTGGCAGGTATGCATGGAAGGGAAGTTATTGACCAGGTTGAGAAGGGATACCGCATGCCTAAACCTGTGTCTCACCATATACCAGATGACATCTATAGGCTGATGCTGCAGTGTTGGGATGCAAACCCAGAGAACAGACCCACATTTGAGTTCCTGAACCACTACTTTGAAGACTTCACCATTACTTCTGAGGTACCCTACCGAGAAGTAATGGATTAGTGTCATATTGCATTGTTGCATAGTATATTCATGAACCAGAGACAGTGAAACAATATTGCCAGAACTTTCTGCAGCATTTCAGAACTTGAATGAGTTTGTGGAGGATTTTTGGCAGACATGGTTGTACTTTGTCAATTTAAGTAGAGGTGATATGTCTGAACAAGTTGTTTGGTGGGGCATGAAGCTTGATCTTCCAAGTTTTCATTATCTTGGAGGAGAAAGTGAGGGGCAGAGGTATTTTACTTCCCATTGCAAATATTCCAATTTGGCATAAATCCTCAGTCAGGACTCCTGTCTGGTCTCTGTTTGTCCCATTCTCACACTCATTGTATCTCATCAATTGACTTATGCACGGGAGGCATGGTGTGATAGAAACCAGTTCACCAGGTCAAGGGTAACAAAGCTAGATGCCACCATTATGAACCACAGTCAAAGAAATTCAGCAAGTGGTGGTGACGTCTAGAGCCCCCCATGAAAAAAAAAATTGTTGATGTAACAGTTTACTGTCTTCATTCGCCAGGAGGCCATACTTGTGTGATTTTCATATTTTTGGCCTTTGATTAAGTCAGTTATAGAATACTGACTTGAATGAGACTATGAACTGCAGCAGATTATGTGTGGTTGACAGGACCAGCCATCCATGGAATTCTACAGTAGAGAATCCATTGCAGGAGATCCTGCTGGATGCAAGTCTTGATGCATAGAGTGAGTTTGTAATTGGACAAAATAGATCTTCAGTAATTACTTTATGTGGGTTTTTGTTGAAACTCCCTTATATATGTATCTCAGATTTAAGTGTGCCATAGTGGAATTTTATTCAAATATGCTCTAGGCATGAGATAACTACTCTCCAGTCCTTTTCCCCATACAATTAGAAGGTTACATTAGGGGTTCAAGGCTTGATTTCAAGCAGTGTATTTTGCATCATGGTTGCTGAATCAGCACATGGAATTCTCTTGTTATAGGTGCTTCTGAGAGTAAAATTGATAAATTCATTGTTGATATCAGCACATTCATTACTAAACACAGTGGAAAATGTCAGCTGCAGTGTTATCCATGTATGGTAGTCATCTTGATAATCAGAAGCAAGGTGCAAATTCTAGTCTTGTAGTTTGAATGGTATATTTGTTTTCAGATGAGCATGTTACTTAAATTCTTTTAATGAAGTATGATTCTATTACTTAATTATTTTACTGATCACTCTGTTGGCTAATAAGTTAATTGTAAGTGGTTAATTTATTAAAGATATTGGCTGAAAGCCCTACTTAAAGAGTGCAGTGAAATCCCAATTTATCATTCTCACATTCAGTGAAATCCCGATTTATTGTTTCCACTTTTAATGATGTCCTTCAGTTAACATTTTTTCTCACCCCCAGCTGCAGACCACTTTAAACAGTGTATTTTTTTTTTCAGATGTAATGAATTTCAAATTAATACATAACCCACATTTAGTGTAAGATACTTTTGACCTCCCAGAACTTGTACTACAATTTAGTACAGTTCTGGTCAAAACAAGTCACTATTCATGTCTTCTCTCTGCCAGAAATTGTTACCGCATGATTGACATCACATACTGAACATGCACCAAAGTCATGCTGCTTGTGGAATCATAGTTTCTTTGATACTCAACTAAGGTTCTTTCAGTGTTCATTTCATATGTCGTTAATTATTTTAGAAACTAATTTTATAGTATTGATTATATAACTGTGTGTATGTGTAGAAAGAGTACTCTTAGTATGTGGAAAGAGTGCTCTTAACCATTTATGCAAAGAAATTATTTTGTCATATTATATACAGTATAACTCATAAGAAGAGGAGGGTTTCTTGATGTAATTTTACATAACCTCTCTATAGAGTATGAAAATTCATTCCCCAGGGATTCATTAAATAGGAATTTCACTGTAACATCATATTTACAGTCACATGCATCTTTCCATAAGAAACCTCTTCATGTAGCAAACAAATTTTGTATGGTAATCCAAAAATGTTCATGTCCTGAGTATCATTGTAGGTATATTTGTGACAGATAAAGGTACTGTCAGTTACAGTATTTATTCATTAATTTAGTATTGGAACACTGTGATGCAAAGTTAACTAATGCTTTAAGGATCTCTATAGTTTATGTGTATGGGTTAATTGATTCTTGGGTTTTTAATTATGTTCTCAACTGTATAAGTTATTTAGCGTCAAATGGTAGAATGTACAATGAACTCCCCATTATCCAGTATGTGTGGGGATTGAGGTTTGCTGATTACACAAATCTGCCAGTTGCATGAGAAAAATTCTTATAGAAAATGAATGCAGAGTCAAAACGAGATGTTTTTGCTGTACTCCTTGTGTGGGAATCTTCCTGTGTGATGTAGGGGATTGATAGATGAAAGAATTGTATGCATTCATTGTAATGAAATGATAAATTCAAGTAGCCTCTAGTGTGCTGGTGCCTGCCTGAGGATGATAGGTAGCATTGCTGGTGGTGGCTGGAAGAAATGTTATGTGGTAGGTGAATGTATGCAGATTGCAAGTTTATTTTTGTATAACTTTATAAAAGTGGTAAATTCTGTTTGAAAATTTTGCCAATTAGATGAGAATTCTAGATACTTGGATGCTGGATGACTGGGAGTTTATTGTGTATGAATGATGAGTTGAAAGGCTGTGGCCTAATTTATCTTTTTGCCCTTCCTGATGTAGGAGAATGCATTAAAATTGAAGTGTCATACCCCTTCCAATTTAATAGAACAGGAAAATATGACTTGAAATTGAAGAACCTTGAAAAAAATAACTTGGCTGATAGAATGAAGCACTTGCATATGAAATAAGATGGGCAAATGTGTAATATAGTAGACTGGCATTTATCTAGAGAGACTAAGGAATATCACAGAAAACCTCAGTAAGTCTTTAGATTGAGTTCAAACCCAGAACCTCTCAATTGTGAAACCAGAGTGAAATCCACTTGACCTTGGCAGATGAGTGGGTTGTTTAACAATGCTTTTCCAGCTGAATGGGTTACATAACACTGAATGATAGGATGATTGTGAATNTCGTGTAGAGTGCAACAGGATGCTTAAGTATAATAATGATGAAAGAATTAAAAATGATATGGAAGGAAATAGTTGTGACATATNTGATGAAAGATAAATGATACAAACTCCGTCCCAAGTGCAAACAATATATATTTATATGTCTTTGATCTTGTTCTTTCTACACTACATGTTTCGGCCTCTATCGGCCATCATCAGGTGTATACTCTTAACGTTGCTGCTACACTGAACCCAGTCTAAAATTTAACATTTAAAAACACATTGTTATTTTCTTCGTATTATCAACATCTACCTCGTTGATATGTGTCTGGTATGTAGATTATATTGCACACGTCAAATTTGATTTTCCTGTAGTAGCACTATAAAATCTTTAGTTATGATTTTAAAATCCTTTAAAATTTCTCTAAATTTTAAATATAAAATTCAAAATTGTTAGGGTTACTCGCCCTATGTCTAAAGTGCTGGAGCGGCTAGTTCTTGTTTCCACACTGTACAGGTGTTATTCAGTGTAGTCTTCCTGTGTGCGTGCCGCTGCTTGTCTTTACNCAAATTTGACGTGTGCAATATAATCTACATACCAGACACATATCAACGAGGTAGATGTTGATAATACGAAGAAAATAACAATGTGTTTTTAAATGTTAAATTTTAGACTGGGTTCAGTGTAGCAGCAACGTTAAGAGTATACACCTGATGATGGCCGATAGAGGCCGAAACATGTAGTGTGGAAGAGAACAAGACCAAAGACATATAATATATATTGTTTGCACTTGGGACGGAGTTTGTATCATTAATCGTGTAGAGTGCAACAGGATGCTTAAGTATAATAATGATGAAAGAATTAAAAATGATATGGAAGGAAATAGTTGTGACATATTTTAAGGTACTCTGTCAGCATTTCTCTAGAAGGTGTAAGGAAAACTGTGCAAAGCTTCAATGAGTCCTTGGGCTGGGATTTGAATCCAGGGTCTTCTATTTGGGAAGCAGGAGTGCTAACTATTCTACCATACCACATATTTCAGTAACTAACTAGTTCCAGGGAGCAGGATGCTACTGTAGAAGCTAACTGTTGCTAGTTAATGGAGACATTTCCAGCATTTTAGGAACTCTAAGATTCATTATCATGTTCAAAAGAGCTCATCACTGGTCCCTCTCCTGCCTGAGCAACACATATCCAGTCAACACTTCTCATTCTGTTTCTTTAAGATCCATTTTTAACTTTATAAGTAGGTTTATGAGATCACCTTGCTGCCTGTATTGTCTATTTGTCTCCCTCTAACAACTTTTGAATGGCTGCTTGAGATAAGCTGCCCTAAGGAGAGAGTGGATGGAGAACAGTGGCATGAGACATCCCATGAGGAATGGAGGCTGGAAGAAGCATTGAGACCAGTATGACATTGCAGTGTCATTCATGATGGCAATCATAGATGTCGCAGGCAAGCCCCATCACAGGGTAAATGGTGGTACGCCTGTAGGCGACTTGGAATGAGCGGCCTTAAGAAGGGAGAAATGTGACATGCCTGGAAACTGGAATAGTGGAGTCAGAAGAGATGGCTGTTGCTAGGCAGTGGCTCAGTAAACATGTTCCCTTGGACGAATACACACAACAGTAGAACTGTTGGTGTGGCGTTTTCTGTGTAGTCTGTGTCATATAAAATAAAAAGAAAATGGACGATTAGTTCTTCCCAGAACTACTTGTAATAATATGCTCCCATCTCCGCATAGCTCTCTGAAGAGTTCTCTTTTCTTCCCTCCTGCCAAATCTTAGTATGCATTTCTCTTCTGTATGTCCTACATGTCCCATCCATTTCATTAATTTGATTGTTCTAATGACATTTGATAAAGAATGTAAATTATGAAGGTCCTAATTATGCAATTTTCTCCATCCTCCTGTTACTTCACCCTCATGTGCAAATGTCCTTATTGATACTGTGTTCTCAAATACCTTTAATCACTGTTCTTACCCTAATATGAAGTCCAAGTTTCACACCTATACAGATCTATATGAAAATGTATCCTTTTTGTATTTTAATCTTTATGTTTATAGATAGGGGGTGAGAAGACAAGATTTTAAACTGAATGGTAGTAAGCATTCCCTGAACTTCATTTGATCTTAATTTCTTCTTAAATGCACTTTTGATTTGTTGGTGTCTTATTGAATGTTGTCGTGTTTTCAAAGGATATATTAGCTGTCTTCATGTTATGAGTTTGTCCTGCAGTTTGACAATGAAACATCAATTTTAGTATCCATGTTAAGGGTAAAGTTACCTCTGGGGCAGGGGCAGGGAGTGAACAGCTTTACACTCCAGTCACTTTGGCCCCAAACAAGGGCACACTGGTAACCACTGGATGGGGCTGGGTAGGCCCTACAGTTGGTCTAGACATATGACGAAGAGAAAAAATATCTACTGCCAGGGAATGAGTATTGGCTATACAGCCCAGTCACTTCATTGACTGATTTGCCTGGACTCATACTAGTTATCTGTAGTAACAAAAGCTAAAGGAAAGGATTAATTTTATAATATGAATTTATGACATCTTGGGCATTTTCTACAAAAAAAAGAGAGAGAGAGAGAAAGCCCCTTTATAACACAACTATGATTCTGAAAGCACAGTTCCACCATTTTCTTTTATGAAGGGATTGTTACATAGCGTCATGCTGAGATGAAATTATTCTACATGTCTGAATAGGATCATGTGTCATTACCATAAGGAAAACTTTTCCATTTACAAAATTTTTGAAGCTCATTATTTATTTATACAAACAGTGAAATACAATGCCTAAGTTTGTTCAAGAATGGTCAAGCCAGTTGTTCAGGTTTCTCGCCTGTCCCTTCCCACATCTTAGTGTTTTCCTCAGCAAATTGTAAGTAGTATGGTACTTTAATATGAACCACAATTGTTCCTTCCACCATCTTGATTTATCTTTCACAGTCATTCTGTTATGTGGTGCAGTATAACCTATGCTGCTTATGAAGTGACTAAATAAAAACACATACCTTCACTACTTATTTCAACATGAACAGCTTAATGTAAACAAGTGTGGTATGTAATATATGACTTGCTGTTTCAGATTGTTTGATTAGAAAATCTGAAAGATTATTATGGGATATCATTTGGAAGGAAAGCAATTCCTTGCCATAATCCTGTGCTTAATTTTCTCATTGTTTTATGCTAAAGGGGTAATTGGCATGAAGAAAACAGTTCAGCAGTGCCATGGAGAGCATTAACTAAGAAGTGTAGCAAACCCACAAAAAAAAAACACTGAAAAGTCTCAGATCATCATCACATAGAAGGATCATATGAGTTACTTTCATAAGTTTCACTTTTCATTAAATTGTGTTGATTTGTATATTTTTTTAGAGAGCACTTAGTGCAGCCACTAACTGTATTAATGAAGAACACGAAACATCAGAATAAGCGTTATCAAGTTTTATTCTGATTTTCAGATTTCTGTTTCTTGCATACCTTGAATAAATTTGATGTGTAAATGTTTCCACACAGTCAGTTATAGAGGCTGTCTTCATATTTTGAATCATCCACATCAGAAAATTCATGACTGTAGCAGTGGGGAATTTTTGCACGAAAAGTGCTGAAATAAGCAACCAGTTCATGGACTTAAGAGCTAGTTTCTTTGATACTGACTTTATACAAATATTTGTGATGTATAGCCTATTTGTTTCATTTCACATTATAAAGTTTATTTATAATTATGCTTTGCCAAAGCTTTTTAATACTTTTATATATATATATATAAATCAGTATGAGAATTAATTTTATTTGCTAAAAGAGTGTAAGATGTGTAAGCAAAAGTGATTTGTTTAATCATGATCATTTCTTCTTCCTCGTAATTTCTCAGCATTTCAAAGACAATAAACAATTTTGCATCATGAGCAAGTTCCCATCATCACAATGTTTTGAGATGTTGGAGAGTATCTGTGACACTCCTCACATTGGAATTAATGTAACGTCTTTACATTCTCACACTACAAACTTAAAATGACTTTTGTGCCTTCCTGTCTGTTAATTGAAACAAAACCTAGAATGCATCTTATGGAAGAACCGGTGTTGTGGAACCAATATACAGATTGTGATTGTTGACAAATAATGTACTGTAGACTGTGGTCTTCTGTCTTTTGAGCTCTCAAATATTCTAAAAGAAATTCATCTTTGTATACGAATTCATACATTTTGTCATACTTTATCTTGTGTCCAGAAATGCTGAGATATTTTGTCAGTGTCCTAGATATATGTACAAAATGCTTGTGAGAATAGGTGGACCAATTTATATGTGGGCTTCGCAGTCCTCATATCTGCATGTCTGGGTACCATCATATACAGTTGATACCAAGTACAAAATAATTCGACAAAGTGAATGAAAAATGTCAGTAATTGCACTCTGTCCCAGCATGGCAGAGGTTTCAGTGCATGTCACATTGATGAATGAAATCCATTGTGAATTTTGAAAAGTATTGTTCTCACTCTGCTTTGTATTCAGGAGATTTTAGCCTAGAATCTCATGTCTGCTAATGAAGATTTCCCTCTAAAGTTGTGTGGGACAATGTTCATCTCATGAAAGATTTTTTATCTCTCTTGTAGTAGTCTGCCATCAGAGTTGGTGACTGCAAAGGGAGATTTATTTCACAAACTTTTGAATCTGGCTACCATAAATTTGGTGCCTGTGTAGAGTTGCTTTAATGGAGATGAGCCTTTCTTGAAAAGCCGCCAGTTGCACAGCTAGATAAGAATTTCCCAGCATTTTATGAAACCCAAAGGTTCATTACTGTATTCACAAGAACCCTCCATTGGTCCCTATTCTGATCCAGATCAATCCAGTCCATACCCCCCCATCCTATCTCCCTAAGATCCATTTTAATATTATCCTCCCGCCTATGTCTCATTCTTCCTAATGGTCTCTTTCCTTTTGGCTTTCCCACCAAATTCCTATATGCATTTATTTTCTTCCCCATATGTGCTACATCCCCTGTCCATCTCATCCTCCTTGATATGATCATTCTAATTATGTATGGGGAAGAGCACAGGTTATCTTCATTATGCACTTTTCTCCAGCCTCCTATTATTTTATTTTCTTTCAGTCCAAATATGTTCCCCAGCATCCTGTTCTCAAACATCATCAGTCTATGTTCCTCCCTTAATGTCAGAGGCCACATTTCATACTCGTGCAAAAACATGAGCAAACCTATGGTTTTGTATACTCTTCATTGACACACTGTGCTTCTGTCCACAATGCATCTAGTTTATTATCTCTGTCCTCACTACATGTTTTGACTGTATAAGACCATCACATGTCTCTATTTGCCAAAACTTTCACTGTATAGTGTATGCACCTTCACCTATCACACGTGAATGTGATATCTCAAACTTAAAATAAATATACTCCATTAAAATTTCAATTTTTTGCTTGGGGGCTGTCATTCTTTTGTCAAATTATCACAGTGGTTGGATTCATTTTGCAGCAGTATGGGTGGTGTATAAGCAGTTCCCAGTTGTGTTTGCACGATTATCATGTATGCCCCTTTGACTGTGTTCTTTGCCCTACCTGTTGTAGCATTGTTTTGCTCTGTGTATACAGACCTAGAATATTGTTAACTGCAATGCAGGCTCAGGTCCCAACTGGTGACCTTTGTTGGTCACTACTTTTTCAGCCTGGAACACTGCCACATGGTGAGGTGAAATGAGGCATGTCTAGCATTGCTGGAACTTGCCAAATAGGAAAGTATTCTAATTGAATTTGTTCATTTGCTTTCGCCATTTCCATTTCAGAGAATGGAGCTCACTTGTTCAAGTCAGGACATTGTATATTTTTGTCACATCATAACATCCAGGCATTTTAATCACAAACTGTACAGATGTGCAAGTCTACATTTACGTAGCAACATTTTAATATTAATTTCTCCCATCTGGGATTTGACACCATGTGGGGTAGTAAATCATTGCCGTCACTTCAGAGGATCCTACCGCCTCCATCTTCAGGTGGTAATCTGATATGATCTCTTGTTGATCAAATGTTTGAAAGGTATATGCCTTTTTATAAAGAATGCTACACATTATAAATTGTGGAATCATTTTATTGCAAAACTTCACATTCTTTTCCCATCCTTTATGCGTAGAACAAGAAATATAAATTTCATGTGGCCTGTAAATTATTACATTTATCTTACATAACTGTAAAGTAACTGTGACATTTTAACATACTACCCCTGCATGCTAATGGATGGACTGGGGAACCACCCGAATACAAAGCATATGTGCATGTTTAGCATTCATCATTTGGCAGAAAGCTCATTTTGAATGTCACTGTCCTGCATTCTCTTTCAACAATTTGAACATACCCTTCATACCAACAATATTTGTCACAACAGCAACAGGAACATCAATAGCAAATGTTAGATGCTGTGCTGTGCCACTACATATGGCCATCTTTGTATCTGTGAACAAGTGACTGCTTAAGCTTCCATAATAATATGCTCATCAAACAAAGTGACAGTTTTCTTCTTACTGATACGTACCCATAGCTGGATAAAATATTTGTCTTTGTGTGTAATTTTGTATTATACCATAACCTCTAATGACAGAAAGGAAGCCCTGAAGAGTGTATTCTGTAGTGTGAAATTCTTCTTGTCTTGTGTTGCTAGTAAGTATACTACTTGTATTTATTTAAACTATTGATTTGCATTACATTAAAACAAACATTTGTGAACAGTGTGGATTTGTGTCTACGTCTGCTTATTTATGCCTTTTTTATATTGCTTTAAATTAGCATATACTAGAGATGTAATGCCTGTCTTCAACATAGTTCATTTTCAAAACTCAGTATTCCAATATATTTTGATTAAATTTGGTATGTGGAAGTTTATGTATTAAGTTCCTTAAGATCTACATCCATCCATGTTCTCCTACTTATATCATTCACTCATGGAGCTGAGCCCTTCTTGAGAAGCTGCCAATTATGCAGCTACTAAAGAACTTCCCAGCGATTTATGGAACCTGAAGGGTCATTACCGTGTTCACAAGAGCCCTCCACTGGTCCCTATCAATCCAATCTATACCATCCCATCCTATCTCTTTAAGATCCATTTTAATATTGTCCACTCACCTATGTCTTGGTCCTTCTAGTGGTCTCTCTACTTCTGATTTCACACCATAACCTATATGCATGCCTCTTCTCCCCAATTTGTGATATATATCCTGCCCATCTGATCCTACTTGATTTGATCATCATAACTGTACTTGTCATGAAGCTCATTATGTAGTTTTCTCCAGCCTCCCGTCACTTCATCGCTCTTTGGTCCAAATATTCTCCTCAGCACCCTGTCCTCAAACACCCTCAGTCTATGTTCCTCCCTTATTACCAGAGACCAAGTTTCACATCCATACAGACCACAGGCAAAATTATAGTTTTGTATATTCTAATTTTATGTTTCTAGACAGCAGATGACAAGATAAAAGGTTCTGCACTGAATGGTGGCAAGCATTACCCACATTCAGTCTCCTCTTAATTTCCTCCTGAAATCAGGTTTTCATTTGTAATGGTCATTCCCAAATATCTTAACTGTGCTACATTTTCAAAACATCTGTTACCTATCTTTATGTCATGATTTTATCCTGCATTTTGGTGACGAGACAGCAACATATACTTAGGTTTCTCTATGTTTACTTCTAGACCAACCTTCTTACTAACATCAATTAAAAGGTTGTGTGTTTCTGTTTATGGTATCTATATTATCACCTAGTAGATTCATCTCATCAGCACAGGCCAACAGCTGATATGATCTTCGGCATGATGCAATGAAATTCAGGTTGTCACGTCCTTTAAAGTTTTGGCAGCTATATGTTGGCATAGAGGTAAAGTTGTTCCTGTGCTTAATTAATCAAGATGCCATTACATATGGGGAATCTTAAACCTCGTCACCTATGGGGGCGAGTGATCTGTTTCAGATTGCAAGTGCTGTTACCTCTGGGGAAAAGGCCCCATGTACCCACTGGGCATGAACTGCCTTACAAATCTATGGGCAGGATGCTGCATAAATTTGTAGCATAGCCAGTCTGTATGTGTGGAGAAAAGTCTCTACCTCTGCCTGTAATTGGAGCTATACTGACAGTGATAGATACAGCAACCATACTATTTGTGGTCGATAAAAAGGTAATCATATTCCAAAGCAGGCATCCTAGCGATTTATAGCTATAATTTCGCCTTTAATGACTGCGTCATCGCCGCCAAACCATCTTCGTTTTTGTGGAAGTGCAAAGCCATCATGGATTATATACATGTTTTTACACCAGAGATTTGGTTATCATTCATACACATGACTGGGCCACTGCTGTTATCCACAATTATTTTTCATCTTATACCACATCACGTAGTCCAGACCGGCTCTGGGGTCCACCCAACCTCCTATCCAATGGGTACCGGGGGCTCTTTCCCCGGGGGTAAAGCGGCCGGGGCGTGAGGCTGACCACTCACCTCTAGTTAGTGCAGAGGTCAAGAAAATGTAGATCTATACATCCACTCCACCAAAGTCTTCATGGCGTAGTGCTTAATTACTTAAGCACAGGGACAACTTCACCTTCTTTACCTTACCTTATAAGCCATACCTGAGAATTTATTAAAAAAGTTACACATTTCCGCAATCAAATACGTCAGTTCCGTCGAAACAAGTCAGCAGCTCATTTTCAAATAGTATTGACAGATCACTGCAGTTATCCATAATGTAATTCATCTCAAGTCCCTTATCTGAGAATCTGTTAAAAATACGAGTTAAAATCACAAATCACTTCCCTCGTACCTCATTACCAGTTTCCAAACAGTACTGAGAGATATTTTAAAGAGAGGAGGACAATTTCGAACCAGCTTCGGGAATATCGTGGTTTAGTTGGCGACAGTGTGAGTGATGCGGACATGACATAAATTTGTGTGAAATTCAAATTTGTGCAGTTAGTTTTAAACACGCAAGGAAGAAGAGAAGGTAAGAAAGTGAGTGTACAAGTATAATTTGCAATGTGCATTGGTCACGAAGGTAATGACCTTGTTTTGTTTACGAAAATGGAAACAGACTCCTAAGAGTGTTGAGGTTTTCACTGCTTCGACTTTGAAATAATCTTCTAGAATGTGACGCCATGTAATCTGACGGACAGGCATCAGTGTTTCGGAAGAACGGGCTGCCTTCATCTTCAAGATGGAAGATGGATGCAGAAACTTCTGACTCTTGTTTGGACCAGTCAAAAAGACTTAGACGGTTTCTTTCGTTTGCAGCAAGCCTATTAGTAACTGAGTACCTTAATGCAGACTTCATTATGCCTAACGGAATTATTATTCTCCCCTACCCTGATTCATAAAAATGCTTGAAACTCTGATACTAATTAAGATATATAGTTATGTGTCAACTGAATGACCATAATTGGAGCTTTCGTTCCTTGTGACACCCATAATATTTCTGGCCACATTAACATTTGACTTAGACATTCAACATTAATTTATGAAGAACTGTATTTTGTAAGTTTTCCAAAACGTTTTTGATTATATAAGTGTATTTTTTGGAAAATTTCGTGTTGGAACATGAATGTGTTGATGAGATGCATATTTGTTTATAACTACAAGTTATGTACATATTGTTGATCACTTGGATTAAAGATTATGGTGAGCTATATAGGTAATACAGCATTAATAAGGAATGCAAGAGAGCTACCTTGCAGGTTTATTCATTAAAACATTACAATTAGTTTTTTCAACCAAGTAAAATTATTACCTATTCAAGTTACTATTTATGTTATGTGAAGCCCGCTTTGTAGTTTCTCAGTGGTGCTATGGGATTCCATTTCACTAATAACATAGGTGCGACCAGTTATAGTTTCTGGATCCACTTTTGTAAGCACCTTTGAGCTGGAACCCACAAAAATTTGGCAGTGAAGAATTTTTTTTTTGGACCAGAGGGATACAAAAATGTTGGTTAAATTTCACTTCCAGTCAGTTGTAAAATACAGAAGAAAACAGTTTATGTAATGTTCATAAGTTGCAAATCTTAGGCTGTCGTCCATGTGATACTCTTCATATTGCAAGTGTGTCTGGTGTTGAACATGTTTGCTTCTACAGCAGTTTTGTCTAAAGTTGCTTTCTGAGGTGGGAATGACACAATGTCTGAGTACTGGAAAGTGTTCGAGCTTTCCTAAGCCTCTGTTCACGCATCAGTGTTTTTTGTTTTATTGTTGTTTTGCTGTGCAACAGTACATTACTCAAAAGTGGCTGAAGGAATATTTGCAACAGCCCTCTTGTAAAGTTGTCTCAGTTTTTTTTTTGTATCGTAATATGCTCATAAGGACTCTGTGGACTTGTCTTTCTTGCTAGCCTTTAAATTGTTCCCCAAATCCCATCACATGTACCTTTGTCATGTGTTGTTGCAAAGAGGTGCCACTGCTTGTCCATATCAAAATCATTTTTACGATAGCAGAGGTTCACGAAATTTGTTCTTTGCTTATACAGTGAAGCAGCCCATCAGAGATGTAGTAAATCATAGTCAGATCTTTCAGTTTAACAGAAAGTAAGTAGCATAATTGACTTTGAAACAAATGCACAGCTACAATGTCATGTCTTAAACAGTGTGATGTGTGAAATAAATCTGTTGTGTGTGTCATTTTGTTTTGTGAATTATGATCCACAGATGAATGAAGAGTTGCCTGAACATTGTTCCAATGAAAACCTTGTACTTTATTATGTATGATGGAGTAGTATTCAGGAAATTCGTGAATAGTGATTTCTCCAATTTCAAGGTGTAGCTTCAGTACTTTAGAAGAACATGATTGCTTGTCATAGTTTTCCTAATTGATCAGTTCTTTTATAGAACTGTCAAAATTTGAACATTTTTGCCCTTTTCCTATTATGAGAAATTGTTTCTTCAATATTGCTATCATTTCACTTTTACTTGAATTGTCAATACCACTGAAGTTTTATTTTCCTTTTCATGGCTCTTGTGATTTTATTGAACTTTTCCTTTGGGTGCTTCACTTGTAACAGCCTTTTAGTAAAAAATAGTGACAATTGTAAAGATTCCAGAACCTTATTGACTGAAGAAGCAATGCAGGTCTGTTCATTTTTAGAACTATTCAAGTCTCCCTTGTCATGTTCTGAGTTCTAAGAGATAACTGCTCAATTTCCAAAACTTACAGGCAAATGGGCAATAGCTTTTCTGCTTTTGTCACAGAGCTGTAAGACATAGGATTGACCATCTGATAAGTTTGTGTTAATAGACCTGTTTACTGTTTTAACTGTACACTACATATTTTGCCCATAAATGATGATCATCTGGTGACATACACAAATCAACCAAAAAGATCTAGAATGCATGTCGTCTTCATTAATTTGGCTTGGATTCTGCAACCATTGCAATCTAGCCAACTTCTGTTGTTCTAATAGCATGTTTATACTTCAATAAAAACATAGTCTGTCTTTGGCTCACATTATAATCTTCTTTCATTCTTTCTCAACCTTTGTTGATGTCCATATTATCATCCAAGTTTCCAAAGCTGCAAACAAGTTTGAGATTTTAACCTGACACTGTTCTTTATCTTTCACATAATTCAGTTTCTTGAGACTAAATCTCTCCGTACCAACTTTTGTATTGTCTGTTTGCTGTTTGACTGCCTCTGACTTTTTCAACCCACTGAATATGGCCAGAATCATAGTCACCTCCTCTGAAATATTAGATATCACGTACACTTTAATTCCATCTGCTGTATACAAGGTGTGTCCCAAAAGTCATGAAATATATATATATTTTTTTTTAATTTATTGATGATTGGTGCAAAGTGTTAATATTCTTCAAAGTACTGTCCATGAGCATCTACACATTTTTTCCACCGACTCTCCCATGCCTGATACGCCCCCTCAAAGCCTCGACGTGAACCTCATTTAAAGCTGTTGTCACGGCCGCTTGGATAGCCTAAATGCTTTCAAAATGGCGTCCTTTGAGTGCAGTCTTGATCCTTGGGAACAAAAAGAAGTCGGCCGGAGCTAGGTCGGGGCTGTAGGGTGGCTGCGGCAGCGTTGTCACGTGGTGCTTTGCCAGGAACTCACGGACGAGCAGAGACGTGTGGCTGGGCGCATTGTCATGATGCAGCCGCCAGTTAACGATGCGATGCACAACGGTTTTTGGAATGTTCAGAGTGTCGGCTAACAACTGGACAGTCATTCGACGGTCAGTATTCAACAAATCACGCACACGAGTCACATTTTCATCGGTTTGGCTTATTGATGGCCATCCAGAGTGGGGGTCATCTTCCACTCCTTCCTGGCCCTCTTTAAACTTCTTCACCCACCTTGTAACTTGCACATATGATAGAGCAGATTCCCCGTAGGCTTGCTTAAGCAGTTCGTGAGTTTTGGCAACTTTTTTGTTGAGCTTTGTGCAGAACTTGACTGCCCAATGTTGTTCGAAAGTATCTGCCATCGCGCGCCGTGACGTGGTCACAAAACAGGTGCACTAAATCAGCGATACTGACGCCTCTGATGCTCGAGCAGACTGACCTTGGGCGCGCTGCGAAGCTAAAGGCCTCGCCCCCCTAACCCAACCGGTTCCAGTGCACTCCGACCAGTAGGAGCGCGGGAAAGAAATATATTTCATGACTTTTGGGACACACCTTGTATCAAATTGTATTCAGTGTAGTGTGATGAAATCTTGATTTAGTGAATATTTTTTCTTCTCCCTCTGGAATGAAATTTAAATGATATTGTCACGTGTTGGGTGTATAACGCGACAAATAACTTCATACCTTATTTCATATAGCGAATTTATTTCACTCACTCTTACAATCACACAATTTACAATCTCAACATTCCTGCCATTGGCAGTATCATAAATACTCCGGTGAAAGATAGACAGCAATTAACTGATTACTCTTTCTCTAGTAACTGGCTCAGTACTCACTAACTAACTAACTGACTGACTCTGGTAACTGATAGGTACTGCTTTTGCGTGACGCCGTGTTTGCCGATAGCCTAGTAACCCTGTCGGGAGTTGTTTAGTGCTGCATAGCAACCACGGCATCCCTTGGTCACGTCACCACGGGAGGGGGCGGGGTGTTGACTGGCCTATTACCGTAGCAACGGCAACACTCCGAAGGTGTTATGTCACCACTGGCGGGGGAGGCGGTGTCCTGAATAGCGCAAATACATCACAATATATAGTATTCATTTTTCCTCTCTCTAGTGAATTTCAAGTTAATAAATGAATTGTATTTAGTGTAAGACATTTTCAGCCTTCCAGAACTTATACATACATTTGGTGAAATTGCTAGATTGTTGTTTAAGCAGCAGTTGATGTTCATATTTTCTCTGCCTGAAATCATTACCACACAATCATAATTTTTGGTGACTGACATCACGCATGGAATATGTGCAAAAACAGATGCCACTTTTGACATCGATATTTGTTTGATTCTTGACTGAAGTTATTTCACTGATTATTTTTGTGTCATTAATTATTTTAGAAATGAATTTGAAATTACATATATATGATTATGTGTACATGTTTGGAAAAAGTATATTTAAACTACTTTCATAAATTAATTATTTTTTTACGTTTCAAAATTTATTCCTATAACTTAGTTTCATGTAAACCCTCATTCCAAATTGTCAGTGTCAAAGTAACTTCTCTTTCTGCATTTACTCTGAAGTCTAACAAAGTGTTCATGTGCTAACTAGGGGATTGGTTGAATACATTCCCCGGGTTTTCATAAAAGCTGCCCTTTTTAACCTCTGTTGGAACATGCACATTCAGAATAACATCACTCCAGTGAACTTGTATTATACAAGAGTTGGATAAAAAGTAGTGGCAACACTGCTGTAACATGAAAGATGTGTGTCAGGTGTCACTAGCGCCATCTGTAGCCGATAGCAGAACTTCAGTTGAAGTAGTGTAGTGAGTGGCTCTGGTTGTGTTTCATTGAATTGCATTGTCTTGAAGTGCAGGAGCCCAGTTCAAGCACCCTAACAACATGTTTAAATAAAAATTGAAGTTTTACGAGGTAGTAGTGCACAAAACTGTTATCAGGGACTGCAAGAAGCATGTGGTGATGCTGCTTTGCCATATCGCACAGTGGCACGGTGGGTGAAAGTGTTCCGTGAAGGGAGGGATGCCATTCAGGACAGCCGTCATTCAGGACAACTCCATGTTGACAGCCACACAATTCAGCTTCTTGCTTCTCTGCTGGATGTCAATTGTTGATGGGCTGTGCGGGAGTTAGCTGCAGAGTTAGGCATATGTCACAAAACTGTGCTCCACATTCTGTGTGATATTCTTGGATACCGCAAAATTACAGCCAGTTGGGTACCCCATACAATGTCCGAAGTGCAACAATGGCAACTTTATGCAATTGCACAGGACTTTTTGGACCGGTACCAGAAGGAAGATGACGACTCCCTTGGATGGATCGTCACTCTGGATGAAACTTGGGCTTGTTCATACGAACTGCACTTGAAGCGACAGTCAAATGAATGGAAGTATCCTGGCTCTCCTCGTCCAAAGAAAGTGCTCCCTACACAGAGTAATGTGAAGGCGATGTTCACTGATGGAGTGATAATACACCAAACTGTACCTCAGCGACAAAGAGTAGACGCTGCCTACTACTGCAGTTTCCTGCATAATCATCTTCGTCCAGCACTCAAGAGAAAGCGACGACACTTGTTGGAAACGAACCCCATCAGCCTTCATGACAATGCAAGGGCTCATACTGCGGACGCTGTCAGGGATCTCCTTCGCCGCTGGCGATGGGAGATACTGCAACATCCGCCACACTCACTCGATATGAGTGCGTGCGATTATGATATCTTTGCCAAAATGAAAGGACCACTGCGAGGGTTACGTTACAACACAAGAGAGGAGATTATTCATGTTGTAGGGCAGTCACTGCTGGACATCAACAGAAGTGGTCACGCTGATGGTGTACGACACCTTCCACAAATTTGGCAGAAGGTGGTACACATGGGGGGCGATTATATTGAAGGAATGTAAGTGTGTTTATCTCAGGTAATAAAGTCACTTCAGAACTATAGAGGCATTGCCACTACTTTTTATCCAACCTATGTATATTACCTGTCACTAACAAACTCTTAACAGTGATATGATTGATTCCCTTGTGTATGAAAAATCCCATCCCACAGTGATGGTTAGCTTTGCCATTTCCATAGAGATATTTATAATCATTCAGCACAACCTTTGTACCATTTGACCTCCCATACTCCACCTAAATTCAGTTCTGAATCTAATTCTGTTTGCTAATCATCTTGTTTTCAATGAACCTGGCTTATAGGGATATAATGATATTCCAAGTTCCAAATTTCTTGTCCATTTTCTATTGTTTAGGTCATTCAAAGCATCTCTCCTAGCCTGATGCTTTGTGTAACATTTTCTAATATGTTAGCATTTTACAGTGATAAGTTTGTGGTCCTACATCTAACCCTCTGTTGACTGATTCATAATATTTGTAGCTACCCCCTATATGTGGATGCTGTCTCCTCCAAACCACAATCTGAGTATGTCCCACTGCATGGTGATAGGGGATCTTTGTAGTTGGTACCGTTTCTTGCAATTAACACAAAAAACTGAGCATTTTGTAGACTCCTGCTTTGTTTTTCAGATATAACAGGGAGGCAACATGCCAAATCCAAAGCGAAGCCGTAGAGGAGGAAAATCAGCATCTATTGCCAGTATTCAGGAGGATGATTCTGAGAACTCGCAGGGGGGAACTACTGGCCTGGACAAGTTAATTGCCTGGCTTGAGGATTTTGATATGCAATGTAATTTTATGCTGCTGAGTATAAATCAACATTAGCATGTCTGAATTGAGTGATGACATTATTTCTGAATGCCTGAATCTTTTCCTCTGTTAAATGAATGCAAGGGGAAATTTTTGATGTCACATTTATTGTTGAAGTTTAGATCACTAGAAACAGAAATGTGTACTACATGTCTCATCACTGAAACACAGGGTAGAATCATATAAATTCTGTGAAACTGGCGTAGCCCCTAATACTTGGATTGATAGTAACAAATCAAATGATAGCCATGAAGAATTTAGGAGCAGGTTTAGATCTCAAAATGGATGCTTCCATTCAGTTCAGAGCCTTGTGTCTTGTTGTGTCCCATTTAAAACCTAATTATCAAAATATACAAAAGTAATTTCACTTATCAATTTATGTGTGTGGTACTTGGTCTCACTCTTTGAGAGGGAGACATAGATTCTGGATGCTTGAGAACAGATTGTTGAGAAGGATCTTGGAAAGACGAAATAGGAAGGGTCTGGAGAAAGTTGCAGTCTACATACTGTTAGGGTAACTAAGTCGTGAAGGATGAAATTGGAAAGATGTGCAGTTGAAAGATTTATGAAATATTTTTGTTCAAATGTCAGGGGAAGAAAGCACTTGAGATGGATGGATAATAGTGAAACAGATCTTAAAATAGCATAGAAATATGCGAACTGGATTAAACTAGCTCAGCATAGGGTCTGATGATGGGCTTATGGGAACATGGTAATGAGCATTCAAGTTGCATGTAAGTGGGTATGTTATGTCTAAAACATCTTTGAAGGTGCATGATACAATGAGTAGGTAACGTTACAGAAGGAAAGTCCTCTGTGTTGAACATGGTCTCCGATATAGTGGTGTTTCTAGCGAACATTTATAGGTTAACCTTTATCGGACGAACGTCATCATATGATGTCGTTAAAAGTTAGGGCAGCTGGCCGAACGTCATCATATGATGTCGCGGATTCCACGCGTGTAAGGTTTTTTTTAATATTATATTAAAAATATAAATTGTTGTTCTATTTACATGATTTTTGGTCACCACCTTTATAAGGAGACAGCCTTCCTTCCTGCATGATCTAATGTAATCTAGGGACGTCATATGACGTTAAAAGTAAGGACAAATTTAAGAACGACATCATATGATGTCGCGCATTCCACGTGTGTAAAGATTTTTTTAAATTTAAATTTAAAATATAAANCTTTCTACATTAAAGGAGCGTTCATTTCGTTCATTTATCATAAAAAATGTAGAAATCACACCATTTTTAGAAACATGCTTACAATTTCATTGCTCTAGAAGGGCGGGCATTTAAATAAACTCCGTCCAGCTGCCCCTACCGGAAATTAAATGGCCCGTCCGATAAAGGTTAAATCATAAATAACATCTGTATATATGGTCAAATCTTGGTAATGTGAACCCACATTGTTCCAAACTCTTAGTGGTCTTAACTGACTTACAGTGCCATAAAAGAAAATTGGCACCTCCAAAAATTACAAATTTAATCTGATTATTTTACTTCCTTGCAGTAAAAATGAATTCTTCTGAAACTTTTCTTTTTAATGGACCTGCCTCTCTAGGAGGTTGCCGCTTTCCCCGAGCCTGGCATGTAGTCAAATGTCTGCAGGTTCCAGTAGCTGTTCATATACAAAATGTACCTATAAATCTTCTGAGTAAATAATTTTACTAACAAATGTTAGTTTTTTATTTTAAACCCAGTAATTCAAATGATTTGGTAGTCCAAACACAGCAGTGCTTGAATTAGGTAGGATTATTGAGTTTTCATTGTACAAATAATGCTGATGCTGAAGATGACTCACTTCCAGAGATGTTTTAGAGCATTATTTTTTCCTGGCCTGAATAATAGTCAGCTTTTCAAGAAAGGTCCTGTACCAAGGCATGAAATAGCTCTTACAATGGAGAGAAATGAATGCAGTATGTGGATAAGAAATATCTCACTGAAAGACTGGTATTTTAATATTGCTGCAGACTTTTTTCATAGATAAAGTGGTTAGGCTGCAGGGGTATGTGATGGACGTTTGGTCTGTTATGACCAGGGCCTGGAGTTTGATGACCTGAAAATATTTAAAAAATGACCAAAAGAATCCAGAAAAATTACCTAAAATATGACTCAAAAATGTAATATGCAGGGCCCGGATTTTGATGACGTGAAAATATTAAAAAAATTACCTATAAAATGACCGAAAAAATACAGAAAAATGACCTAAAGGAGAAAAGAAGAACACTTTGCTTCCATGTTATTCACATTTCAGAAAACATATGAAGAAAAGTTCCCTAAAATGGCCAAAAATGACAAGAAATACCCATAAAGGTCCAAAAAATTACCCCCAAAATGAAAAAAAAAAGACGTTAAACCTAAAAATGTCAAAAAAATGACAAAAAAATTACCTATAAAATTTACATTTCTGTAACCAGCAGCTCATATCCAAGATTTATATATTTAAGAGCATCGCATAGGATACAAGGAAAAGAAGATGACATGCCATCAAAATCCGGGCCCTGGTTATGACTAATGAGGAAGTGAATGATAGGATCATGTAATTTGGAAGCGAGTTATGGTCCTCTTGTCCTAGAGTAGTGTTTTGGCATTTGTCAGGTGACAGTGAAGGAAACCACAGAAATCAGGCAATATATCCTACAGCAGCTGTGATTTGAACAAGATACCTCTCAAAGAATTATATCATCTGAGATATGATGCCATGTAGTCCATTGAAACTGACCTGATGTTTTGGAGGAACATGTTGCTTCCATCTTCTGGGCTGCCAAGCATGAAGCAGGCACCAAATATAGTACCGTTGACATAACCTATTCTGACTTGCATTGTTGAGTAATAACCCAAACTGAGTACTACTGAGCCACAAATATCAAAACATTTTGTGTGAAAATGGTATAGTCCTCACTATAGCTAATTTTATTTGTTTCTCTGTTGCAGTTGAAAACAGACTTGCCCTTTTTGATAAATTATTTGCTGAAAAGTTGAAAGCAGTAGAACGGTGTTATGCCTTGGAACGTATGAAAATTCCTCCTGAAATTTTAAATAGCAAATTGGTGACAGAAGATAGTGTAAGTGTCTTTTAAGAATACATATTGTACCTTTTATGCATAATACTTATATAGATGCAGGGTAGGATTTTAACTGGTATTTTAGAATTTGTGTAAATTCTTTGTTGTTGAATGTAACATTCACAGATCATTCTGCTCATTTTGGAAGTTTCTTTGCTGCTGTTTGAAAATGTGAACTAAGTAACAAGATGGTATCATGTGTGACATCAGGAAGTGTTTATCAGAAACTCTTAGTTAGTTAGTTAGTTAGTTAGTTATTGGAGAGGGTGGGTTTCCCCATGCACTGAGACCTGTATTGGTCCATTGTGCTTCCCTCTATGATTTCTACCAGTCTCTATATCCTACTGGTACTGGTGCTTACCATCAGTCCCGCCCAGCCAGCGAGACCGGCTCTACTAGCTGAGAGGTATCTATAATGCTTTCCCCATCTACCAGAGGTATTAGAGACTGCTGTTGGGTAGGAAATGTCCGTTAATTTGGCTCAGTGACCTCCTTTGGAGATATGAGGTTCTTTTACGTGCTGTAAAGCTATGACACGGGACCCACGGCTTAAAGTCCCTCCCGGAGGACTTGTTCCCTGAATTTTTCCGCCCTTAAAAATTCGACGACCTCCACCGGGTATTTGAACCCGCGTACTACGAGTCATGAGGTGGGAACGTTACCTCTAGACTACGGAGGCCACTACCAGAAACTCTTACTCTTCTGGTAATAGAGCATTGTCATGGAGGAAGAGTATCATTGACAGTTTTCTGTTGTGTTACACCATTGGGAGACGCTATACACCGAATCATCAAACAATTTGATGAAACTAGAATCGTGGGTGATAAATGTGTGAAGGGGAATGAATGCAGAGACCCTGTTTGTATGGAAGAAGTTGTCGACGATAGTGACAGATTTTCCAATGCAGTGCTGGTTCAGACTCTAATCTGTTGTGCTGAACTTCACACAATTTTCCATGGCCTTTTTGTTATTGCCTTCCTTGCTGCACCAATACCTTCAACAGATTTCCGTAGTGTGTAGAATGATCTCTGAAAGTTCCCTACAGTTGTTATCAATAACAAAGAAGTTATTGAAAATGTAATGTGTCAAATGATAAAGGAAGCACTCTGCATATGCCTTCCATATCATATTGTGGGACTGTATTACATGTTGGTCCTTTGGTTATTTATATTGAGTTCTATTGGTTTCATTATGGAGACAGTCTTCTAGAGTATATTTTGTTTGTATTTACTTCCTTCCTTTATTGTATCTTAGCCATTTGCTTATTACAGTTTCATTTGTACTTAATATTTGGACACAATATATAGCCATCAAATATTCATCCATGCAAATATTCCATAAAATTATGTGCATTATTTAAACCTTTGCTGTACAGGATGTCTCAAACTTCTAAGAAGCTAGTTTAAAGTGTCTGGGTAAACTCATTTAAATTTAAACCACACTATGCATTGTCCAAAGATCCTTAGCTTAGTATTCTTCATGAAGAATTTTAGTGTCTAAAACAGACATTGGTTGGTATAGTAAATGAATGTCTCTGTTATATCTGGGTGGATATCTTATGGCGGAACACTGATATTATAAAACCATGGTAGAATGAGTGTGGCTTGTAACAAAGACTTTAGTACAGTGACAAAAACCATTGGAATCATCTGTTTCTTAATGTTTAATATATGTGGAAAACCATTTATAAAACGAGGAATGAAGAGTGATGTGTAACTGGCTGTCACTATTTTCCCATAACTTTTGCACCAGCTGTACTTATGGTTTTGCTTCCAAAGTTGTTTATTTCTAGAGCCTGTTAACTCACCCTTCCTCCCCTCCCCTTGTCTAAGATGAAGTTTGTGTTCACAACTTGTTACCAGCTTACACTGAGAAGTGTATGTCTTGTGACATCCAGTGCACCTGCAATATCTTTTTCTCCATGTAACACTAATTTTTCCTCTTCCCCTGGGCATCCTGTGATGTAGGCAGAATGACGATTTCCCAGAATATAATTCTGCAGGATCATATTCAAGGTTTTGTCATGCTAGATATTTGCTATGTATCAGTTGGCACTGATTTCAAAATTTTTGGAAAACCATAATTATGACACTGAAAAGGAATAGCTTAGGGCTAAATACAAGACTTGAACTCATGTGTCTCTGTGAAGTCAGCAGCTCATCAAGAAGTGAAATACAAAAGTGGTATGAATAACTAATTCAACATCATGTATCATGACATATCATTGGTGCCCTGGGGTTGATTCAGCCCTAAACAGAAATGAATACCAGGAATCTTCCCTGGGGTAAAGGGCAGCTGGCACATAAGACTGACAGCCTCACTGTCACCTGTGAGCCGATTGTCTAGAAAATGTGGGAGCCTCAATGTCTTGCAACCATATGGGCCTTCAGGGCCTGTTACAGGAATAGCTTTTCCTCATTTACAGTCTGTATTTGTAGAAGCACATGTTCGTTTTTTCTAATCCAAAATTGTATTTCATTTTGAAGGGATTGCTCAATTCCAACAATACAACATTAATGGAAAAATCAGTCCAAGAAGCTGATACTACATTGAAGCCTCGTCATCGTAAGAGAACTCGCTGTGTGACAGTAAATTCACCTAGAGCTTCAACAGGTAAAGTAAAAATATAAAATGCACTCTTCTTTCACAACATTGTCAAAATAGACAACATTTATTGGAGTTTTTCCTTTGGAACTCTGTTAGTGAGGTGCATGAGTGCATTTAAAATTCAGCCATTAATATTATAGAATTATTTGTCAGATTTTTAATTGATTTTTTATTTTCTTTTTCAAGTTGTGTTGTATGGTTATAAAATCCAGTTTCATATCAAAGTTGTAACCAATAATCCAACATATATGAAAGTAATCCATCTAGATATATTAAAAAACGCTTGGACTCTGGATGCTTGTGATTTAATTGTAATGAAGAAGTAACAGAGAAGTAGAACGTTTATTGAATATATTAGTGCTCTGAATTATTCATTCTGAGCACAAATTCTTAAGTTAACCATAGTTTGCTTATTTCATATGTTTAACATTGGATGATGTAATTTATGTCATATGCCAAATGCTGTGATTGAGCAGGTTGCACTACTTTGTATTCAGGAAGTCCCAGGTTCAAATCTCAGTCCAAAACCGAGCTCTCCTGACTGAGGGTGTGTGTGTGGTTTTTCTCAGTCTCGGGGCATATGCCAGGATAAGTACATGAAATTATGCCACAGCTGTTTCTTTCTAAATCATTTCCAATGCAGTTAGTTACAAGCTGTGAACTCCTGAAGACTTCCACTATCTGCCTTTGTTTTGTAACTTGTTATTGTGGCCCTTTGTCATTCCACAAACCTGAATTATACAAATATCTTGTGTGATCTGACGTTTATACAGCGGTGAAAGTTCAGATTGTGGTCATCTGGGTTCTGACAGTTTGTAGTTTTGTAGGTGGTTACCAACATACCAGGATGTCCCGAAGATTGAGGCTACAGCTTCCCCCAGACATTCATAACCACTTACAAACACATGTGGTCTCACAACCCAGTATGTGGAATATACAGCATAACTGTTGTACACCAGTTACATATGTACTGAGATATGATTGATTAATTCTGTAGTAATTTAATAATACTGTTTTAACTGAATAGCTTATGCAGAATCAAATGAGATGGGAAGACATTATGAGTGGTAACTTAAGGAATGATTCGGAAAGAAGCAGTCATGACTTATTTGTAGGTGTCATCCCAGCATTTGCCTGGAAATACTCAGGAAAATTAAGAAAACTAAGTCAGCTGAGATTTGAACAAGGAACTACCTCCTAAATACAAGTCTGCGGCAGTACTGCTATTTCAGTCTTAGTAGAAATGGACATTCAGCAAGTCTTCAGCTTCTTTACACAAATTGTTTATGGAATATATGTGGGGCAATCCAAAAGTTTCCAAAATTTGAATTTTGTGCACGAATAGTTATGAGTACATCAAAATACCGCTAGGTGTCTCCTCACACATCCTTCTTGAATCAGTGTGGCAAGCGGCGTTGAGTTGAGTGGTTGGGTGTATTGTTGGTGAACGTATTTCCATTGTTGTGTTTCCGTGAGTTTGCGGTTTTGTGATGGCTGACCTGAGAGAGCAGCGTGTCTGTATAAAGTTTTGTTTCAAACTTGGGAAAACCACTGCAGAAACGCACCAAATGTTGAAGCAAGCTTTTGGTGAAAACAGTTTAGGCCAGACACAAACTTACAACTGGTATAAGCGTTTTAAAAATGGCCAAACATTGACTGATGATGATTGTTCGGGACGGCCGTCAATGGGCAAAACACCAGAAAATGTCGCGAAAGTTAGGGATCTGATTCTGCAAGATCGTAGACTGACCATCCAAGACCTCTGTAACACCTTGGGACTAAGTTATGGTACATGTCAACGAATTTTGTCAGAGGAACTGAACATGAGGAGGATTGTAGCGAAGTTTGTGCCACGACTACTGCAAAATGAACAGAAGCAGCATCGCTTGGAAGTCTGCAGGGAACTTCAGCAACGGCTTCAAGAGGATCCAAACTTTCTTTCGAAGGTTGTCACTGGTGATGAAAGTTGGGTTTATGGCTCCGACCCTGAAAGCAAGCAGCAATCATCGCAATGGACGAGCCCTTCTTCACCTCGGCCCAAAAAAGCTTGACAAGTCAAGAGCAACATTAAGTCCATGTTAATCTGTTTTTTTTTATATTGACAGGATTGTTCATAATGAGTTCATCCCTCCTGGTCTGACAGTCAATAAGGAGTTGTATCGCAATGTTCTAAGGTGTTTGAGGGAGAACATGAGGAGAAAACGTCCAGAGAAGTGGCGCACGAACGACTGGGTACTCCACCATGACAACGCATGACCGCATACGGCTTACATTGTGCAGGAATTTTTGGCTAAAAACAAGATGGCAGTTGTTCCCCACCCACTGTACTCACCAGACTTAGCTCCATGCGACTTCTTTCTCTTCCCCAAGATGAAAATCAAGTTGAAGGGGCGAACGTTTGATACAGTTGAGGAAATTCAAGCGGAAATGCAGACAGTACTAAACACCCTAACAAAGAAAGACTTCCAGGATGCATTTGAAAAGTGGCAGAAACACTGGGATCGGTGTATGCGCTCCCAAGGGGACTACTTTGAAGGTGATGGTGCAATAAGATCTAGGTAAGATGTAATAGTTTTTATTAATATATTTCGGGAACTTTTGGATTGCACCACGTATGTGCTGTACTTGTAAGCACATTAAATGAAGTAGATTTGAACATCCTGTGAAATAGTAAGAAATTAATTGTAAGGAATACATTTTCAAAATTGGAACATTATGACATTTTAACATAGAAACGTTAGAAGAAATTTTTCTTTAAATTAAGAATGTGTGTAGGTTATGTGTGGACTGTAATGGAATTCGTTTTGATGTTTGAAAGATGGCATTGAATAAATGATCGTTGGGAGGAATAAGTACAAGTGGAGATCCCAAATGAGAGATGATATTCAGAAGAGTGGAAACAGATACAGTGTGAACAGTTATGAGATAAGAGAGAGAAATTGAGAAGACTTTGTCATGGGTGATCCACTCTAGTGTAAATGTCATTGGTGGATGATGATGAAATAATTGTTAATATTTGTGCTTTTCCTTTGATGTAAGATTGTAGCATTGCAGCATTCATTTTCATGTGCAACAAAAGTGTAATGTTGTTTTCTTACAGAGTTGCGTCGAGTAACACGCAGTATTTCATTAAACAATAAATATAGGATACCAGAACACATATCATCTGTAAGTTTCAAGGTGAGAAAAGGCATATTATTCAAAACATATGTTAGACTGAATATTGTGAGAATCATACAGAGACCGAATGTTAATTGCACTGTCGTGGGCACAATTGTATGATGAGACCTTCAGTATTACATACTACGTGTATCTGATATGAGTATTTAGTAGTGGATATACAAATTTCATCATATTTATTTTTACTACTGGATAAAAGCTGTTTAGGTAGGCTAATTAGTTGATATTTCAGAGGAACTAAGTGTTTTCATCTTTAAGGTGAAAAATTGTACATTTTATTATTATTGTTCAGAAAAAATTATGTAGTTACATAAATATCAGAATTTACCAGGTTTGCATTTCACTGAGGGTGTGTATTCTTCAGTAGTCTGGAATTCTATTAACATAACAGCATTTCAGTATGTCTATGAATTCTGTTACGCTAATATTTATGTGAATTATAAACGCAAAATGATGGTAATGTTGAATAAATTTTATGAATTAAAAGAATATGTAGCTGAAAAGTCATATATTGTCATCTTTGATACTAAGTTAAGAAAGTTATATGTTCAGGAAGTGGTTGATATTCGGTAAGGTACTGGGAAAATACAAGATGCCAGGCAACTTTAGATGTCCCAATCAGATTGTTCCCTTAAGTGTGACATTTGTTTTTCAACAGACTCCAGCTATAAAGTCAAACTTTGCATCTGCTCCCAGTCTTATAACACCTAAGGTGGTGCCCAATGCGCCTTTATCTATGGTGCGGTATCCTCGCCAAGGGGAATTGGCAGTTTCCTTGTCTGGGAGTCCCCTGATGGTCTCTTCAACACTGTGTGAACAGAATGCAAATGTGAACCTTCGCCTAGCTGACGGAAGGGTATGTACTTTCTGGTAACACAGTAAAACCCATCTGAAAGAGAATCTGGATTAAGCAGAAAAATTTTCAGGTCCTGGGCCTGTAGTGTGAAACCAATGTATTATAATGAATGGAACCTGTTTGTTGTGGAAACAGAAAGAAAAGAAAGTATTAACCTTTAACGACCGAAAGTCCGGTATACCGGACGGTACCTGTGACCTCGAAGATGCCGAAAGTCCAGTATACTGGACGCAAGACACGTGCTCACTTTAGAAGTGCTGACGGTTAGACGTTGAGTTTGAAACCAAAACAAACACACGCAAGTTCAAGTCAGAGGTCCAGTTGTTGGCTCTGAACAATAAAACCCTTCATCATGGTACTGGGTTCGATTTCGTTTACATATAGTTAAGACTGTTTGTGACTTGGTCAGCCAAACAGAGTGGAAGCTTCTTCACAGAAAAGCTGACCCAACATTCCTCTGTGCGGGCAGATCACTGCTTCTGTAGCTCTCAAGGAAGTGTGACGTGTTTAGTGAGTGTCTGAATTATCAGCTTGTGAGTCAGTGGCGGACTGTTTCTCTGGGGAAGCCAAGATTTTTCATTGAGTCATCTGGAACTGAACATTGACAACACTGTCCGGCCAGCCAGATAGAAACAATAACTTCCTGTTTGTTCGCTAAGCGAGAGACTGAACCAGATTGTCTACCAGCGTATGAGAAGTGAGGTCTGTGTGACCTTCACAACGCGCTGAAGCAAACTCTGCCTCTCCGCGCTCCCGCACGCAGTATCTATAGTAGCGTAAACTTACACGACGCAACGAGTTGAAACTCGTGTACAGTCTGACCAAACATTTTGGTGTATAGTGTCAATGTATTTTGGATATAACGACGTCTCAAATTTGAAGAAAAAATTATGGGTAAGTCTTTTGGAATTTCATTACACATATAATAGAGAGTATATTTTGAATTTCATGACATAACAATTACAGTAATTTTTATTTGTAAAAATTTCCATAGGTATATTGTAGGGAATTTCATTCTCTTTCAGGCGGTTTTTAGTTCGTATTTCTAAGCTGCATAGAACGGAAAATATGTAGTTTTTTCTGAAAGTCTACAATATTAAAAGGGCAACGTCAAATTAAATCCGGCAGCAGCGCAGTCGTGGGGGGTTTAAATGCCGACTCTTAAAGGTTAATGGGAAAGAAGTTTATTGGCTATGTATAGTTTCCTGTCCTTATAATTTTATTCAAATCTCTGCTGCCCAGAATTTTTTTGAAAGGAAAAGTCACAAGTGGGAAATAAATAAATTTTGATTTCTAACAAATATATGCAGAATGATAGACTAAGTATAGAAGAATGGAAGGAAACAATGACGAAGAAAGAAGAAAAACTGAATATATCCGCTACTCAATAAGGATGTAGTATACATTCATGGCTTTAATCTCTTGCCTGTGATTAGGATCATAGCTTATGTACTGTGCTGCTTTTTATATCCATAATTAAGTTCTTGTGTTCAGCTGAAACCTCTCCAATACAGATAAATGATGAGGTTCCTTGGCATTCCATTACAAGCAGGCTTGACTACATTAATTTGATTTTCTAAACTTTGATAGTGGTAAAAGTGATGTAACATTAAAAAGTTTTCATTATAGGTACACAATATGAAATAAAGTTTTGGAAACAAGATATGGAACTTGCTTTTCTTAAATTATTAAATCCATATAGTGTGGGAGAAGTAGCTAGTGCATAAGTCAGGGAGTTGGCTTAAATGTGGACTGGCAAGGATTCTTACTTACTGTGTCTAAATGAATCACCATTAGTCAGTTTCACCTTTAGCCGGTGGAAGCATCTGTCCATGTATGTCTTGTATGTTACAGAATAGTGTGTTATTGTGCAATGGTTTGAAGTCTTGACACTGGAGCTTCAAGTTGAAAATGGTGTATCACCAGAGTTTTATGACTTTCAAGGCTCTAAGCACATGTCAGTTCTTGTCAGGACCGAGCGTCTTGCTGCTGCCCCCCTTCCCCTTCTTTCTTATAACTTTCAAATAAAGTGGGTAAAGTGAATACAGATATTGCTGATGAAATTGACAATCATATTTATCATAAGATTTGTTCCTTCTAATCTAATTCATAACAATAAACATTCATTGTTCAATATTTTATCTCACCATGATTCATCAAGCAGGTTACTGTAGTAGGCTGCGCCATAGCTCAAGCGGTTAGTCACTGGCATCCCAACGTGGCGGCCCGGGTTTGATTTCGGGTCTGGTCAAGTGGGATTTGTCGTGGACAAAGTGGCACTGGGGCGGGTTTTCTCCAAGTACTTCGGTTTCCCCTGCCAATCATCATTCCACCAAATTCTCCATCATCATAATCACTAGGGGCAGGCTACACTAGGCCAATCAGTGGTCACCATGCCGAATGGACCCAGTGGACTCAACCCCCCACTAGGCAAAAAAGTTACTGTAGTTGTCATGCTCTAGGCTCTCAGCTGGAACACTAGCTATCTTGACCAAGGTTTTTTTGTGGTTTTTCTCAGTCCCTCCAGGCAGATGCCAAGGTGGTACCTTGATTATGCTATGACTACCTCCTTCCATATACTTCCTAATTTACCCTTCCTAGTCAAATTGCTTGGCACTTTTTGTTTGAGGTATTTATAGTGCTGTTAAATAAACCACAAAAATGAACCATTACTCGACACAAATGGAATGACTTCTTACAACTATAGTATCACTTTTGCTTTGTTAACAGTTTTAAGTTACTTGCACAGTCCAAAGAAGATGATGTATTGAGTGATTTTCCTGTTTTATAGGTGGTGTCGATTTTACCAGAACCAAATTTGCGCCCATATGATATCCCCCAAGTTGACGAAGAAACAAGACAACAGTTGCTAACTTTGCGAGAACATATGAATACTCTTATCAACTTGGTTCACTACTGAAAACTGCGGAAATTATGTTGTATTTTTATTGACAGATCCACTTGTTTTTCTTTTAAATCTGAAGCAGCAATGGATGAAGGTGAACTTAATTACTAAGAAGTACACATTTAATAGATTGTAGTGGTTTCATTAATGCAGAAAATTGTCACTCATTAATTTAATTTAATTGAATGTATTATAATTTTTGTACAATGTAAAGTGTGAAGGAAAATTGTTTTTTAATGTTTATGAAGTATGGTCAAGGAATGAAAAGGATGTTAGGACAGCAGGAGTTTTGAGTGTGGATATAAACAGACATTGGACTTGTGCCTTGAACTTGACACAATATTTTACACACACATTTTTTTTAAACAGAAGCACTAATTTAGGGAAATTCATTCAAAAAGCAGTGACCCACTTTTTTATTATTAAAATGCTTTGAAAAATGAAACTTGTTACAGAATGAGCCAGTTCATTGGTTACATTTTCATTACTCTTCCATGTAATCCCTTTTACTGTCAGTGGTGTTACAGCAAGAAGTTATTGTGCATTTCTTGCTGGCAAAGGTCTGTTGTGCCTTTTGAAGCTCTGTTGTACTCACAGACTGCCTTCAGGCCTCTTAAATGTTCCTCACTGATTCATCCTATGCTGACAGAGACCCACTTACAATCCTTTGATTCTAATATAAATTAAGACTGCTTCCTGCTTTGATATCAGTCAGAATATTTTGTAATCTAGTACCCAGGAGCAGAACCAGTAAGTCTTGAACAGGAGTTTCATTGCTTTTTGGAGTGACTTACTTGCAACAGACCCATGTGTGTCATATTACGTTGTATGACATTCTTGTGTTCAATCAAATTTTCATTTCAGGCATTTTAAGACATGCAGTTTTTTTCTTTATTGTAGTTCTGTTTATAAAAACGAAGATGGTGGTGGTGTTTTGCATATTCAAACACAGCTGTATGACTTTCTTTTCAAATGCTAGTAAGTTAATTTGTGTTGTGATGAATAGTATTTTGTTTTCTTACTCAGTATAAAATATTATTAGAAGCTTTTGTAAACTTATTATGCTATAATTTTCATTAATAAACATAGCCTTACTTACTTACTTACTTACTTACTCATGTAGCTGAGCCCTTCTGGAGGAGCCGCCAATTCTTCAGCTACTCAAGAGTTTCCCAGCATTTTATGGAACCCGAAGGTTCATCACCGTGTTCACAAGAGCCCTCCACTGGTCCCTATCCTGAGCCAGATCTCTCCAATCAATACCATCCCATTCTATCTCTCTAAGATCCATTCTAATACTGTCCACCCACCTACGCCTTGGTCTTCCCTGTGGTCTCTTTCCTTCTGGCTTTCCCACCAATATGCTATACGCATTCCTTGTCGCCCCCATTTGTGCTACATGACCTGCCCACCTCATCCTCATTGACTTTATCATTCTAATTATACTTGGAGAAGAGTACAAGTTATGAAGCTCCTCATTATGCAGTTTTCTCCAACTTCCTGTGACTTCATCTCCCTTTGGTCCAAATATTCTCCTCAACACCCTGTTCTCAAACACCCTCAGTCTATGTTCCTCCCTTAATGTCAGAGACCAAGTTTCACACGCATACAGAACCACAGGCAAAATTATAGTTTTGTATATTATAATTTTTTAAGTTTTTGGACAACAGACAAGAAGACAAAAGGTTCTGGACTGAATGGTACTAAGCATTATCCGAGTTCAATCGTCTCTTAATTTCCTCCTGAATCAGGTTTCGATCTGTTATCGTTGTTCCCAAATATCTGAACTGTGCCACATTTTCAAAACATCTGTTTCCTATCTTTGTGTCATGATTTTGCCCTGCATTTTGGTGATGAGACAGTAACATATACTTAGTTTTCTGTGTTTACTCTTTACTTGCATCAGTTAAAGTTTATGTGTTTTCCTTTATGGTATCTACATTATCACCCAGTAGATTCACATCATCGGCGTAAACCAACAGCTGATATGTCCCGTTTAGTTTCCGTCCCACCTGGTTTCCCTGGACCTTCCTAATGGCATATTCTAAGGCAAAGTTGAAAAGGAGTGGTGATAAAGCATCTCCTTGTTTTAGACCATTCTGGATAGGCTAGCAACTGATTATCCTGCAATGCAGCAAATATGTTCTGGGAAAGTGTCTTGTAATATCTGTGTAACAGTTTTACATACTGAAAGAAAGCCGAGTTCTGTATGTTGAGTCACACTCCATACCAGTGGTGCCCAGACTGCTTGAGGGCCTAAAGGTTCTGTGAAAGATTGCCAAGGGTTTGGAATCAACCTTTTTCTATAACTCAGTAATGTGATGTGATGGTTAACATTCATACTTGGTGTCTGGTTCTTGTTCTTGCTCTTTTACTTCAAATTCACGCAGATCCAGATACAGGTTGAGAAGTAAATTCACAAACCATTGAATATAGAATGTGTCACATATCAGAAAAAATGTTCCAATTAATCACTGGAACAAGTCTAGCTAACATAATATGAAATATAAATATCACAGACAAACATAAATGAATATGATTACAAAAAATTGAATGCAAATGAAAAACATATTAATTGTTTATACAATCAAATTCCTCCAGTTTGTAAAATTAGTGCAACACAGATGTCTTAAGGAACTCTTAAAACTTTTAGATGTCTGTACAAGCTCTTTTAATTCAAGTGGTAATTCATTAAAATTTGTAATACCAGTGTAGTAAACACCATTTTGATACAATGATGGAGAGGAAGTAGGAAAATATAAGTTTTCACAATGTCTGGTCTGTACATTATGCCTGTTGTAATTAGCAATAAAAAAATCCTGTTCTTTAAAATAAACAACAGGATTGAAAACATATATTGCGATTTCAATGGTAGGATCTCTGTCTATAAAGATTCCTACATGAGGACCTACTTCCATATCCTGTCATTAAGCGAACAACTCTCTTTTGTAACATAAAAAGTTTTTTGCTCTTGGTAGATTGACCCCAGAATATAATACCATAAGATAATATAGTATGAAATAAGATGTAATAAATCATTACCAGTGAGGAAAGAGACACATAAGGTTTGACTGATCTGATCATATAATAAATATGGTTAATTTGTTTAAAATATTGTTAATATGCAAATTCCAGGATAATGTTGTTATCTGTTACCAGACCAAGAAATTTAAAGTGACAGACCTCAGAGATTTCATTATTATTACAGACAAGTAAGGTCTCGGTTAGTACAGAATTTTTTGTTGAAAATTGCATACAATGTGTCTTTGAAAAATTAATAGATAATAAATTTGATTTGAACCAGTTATACACTATTTGAAGATTTGTGCTTAGTTTAGTATCTGGAATATCATTTTTTTTATTGTAACTATTATTATCATCGGCAAAAAGGATGGACATAGCTGATTCATCAATGGCCAAGGGGAGATCATTGATATTCAGTGAAAACATCAAAGGTCCCAGTACAGAGCCCTGAGGAACACCACGTCGAATTTCAGACCAATTCGATACCAAATTATAGCGAGTTAAATTATCTATCTATGCTGATATGTATCTCTGAAGTACTGGGAATATAAGTTCTTGGAAACTCGTAATATTTCAAATTTGTGTAAAAAAATGTTGTGGTTGAAACAGTCAAAAGCCTTCTCAATATCACAGAAGATTCCCTTAGCTTTATTATTTAAAGCAGTAAGAATTTTATTTAAAAGGGAAGAAACAGCATTGTCTATCGATAATTTTTTTTGAAAACCATATTGATATAGGATTTTGAATAGCATATTTTTTAAGATGATTCATGAGTCTATTTAACATTACTTTTTCCACAATTTTGGAGCAGGATGTTAACAAAGAAATAGGTCTATAATTTGATATTAATAATTTATCACCTTTTTTGTAGAGAGGCTTTATTACTGAGTATTTTAGTCTCCAGAAATGAACCAGATTATATTATTTTGTTGCAAATGTAATTTAACGGTAAATTTACGTGGGGCACACTCAGTTTTAACATTCTCAGAGATATTTGGTCATAGCCACAGGAATCTTTTGTTTTAAACGATTTAATAATTTTTTCAATTTCATTTATTGTGGATGGTTTGATACGAATAGCAGGATAATTATTTGTAAGAAGATTTTGTGCATTTGCTCAGTTTCTCCAACTAAATTGTAGGCTGTTTCCTAAAATAAGCTATGACAACTTTGGCTTAAGGGAGGAACATAGACTCACAACAGGCGAGTCCGTTCAGTGACTATTGCTAGGCAATGCGTAGGTAGATACACCTGACAACAATACCTGATATCTGTTGCCAAGCAGCAATGTGTTCTCTATGTTGTCCGTGCCGAGCCTAAATAAGGAGCAGCGGACACTATTCAGTAGTAGTGAGTATTGAGCCAGTTACTAGAGAGAGAGTTACTATTATTGAGGATGGCGTATTCAGTATGAGTTGAAGTCCAGCAGCTACGAGTAGAGTTGTATCGAGCGAACTGAAGTGACTACAGCAGGAGAAGTAATTGTGATACTGCAGATGGCAGTAGTTGTCTAATTGTGAATTGTGTAAGTGTAAGAGCGAATGTGGAATAAATTCGCTAGATCCAAGACGACGTGAAGTTATTTTCCACATTACATACCCAACACATGACAATATTGTGACGTGGACGGCACAACACTCAGTAACCCCCCCCCTTCCAGCGGTGACATAAGAGCATCGGAGCAACTGCCTCTGGTACGGTCACAGGCCAGTCAACATTCTGTCCCCTTCCTCCACGGTGATGTAACAGGGGACACTGCGATTACTACGCAGCAGTAAACAACTCTCGGCAGTGTTCCCCAGCAATGCCTGTAAACACGGTGTTTATGCAACAGTGGTAGCTATCACATAACTTTTCCGTGTTGCGAGTGGGAAAGCTACATATCAAGGAGAATTACCGGAGTAACCAGTCAGTTGCAGTCTAGCATTCACCACAGTGAATGGAAGCAGGAGAAGTAATTGTGATACTGCCAATGGCAGTAGTGGTGTAATTGTGAATTGTGTAAATGTGAGTGTGAGTGTTCAATAAATTCACTATATCCAAGACGACATGAAGTTATTTGTCGCGTAACATACCCAACATGTGACATATATTGGAAAACTCTTGAGTAGCTGTACAGCAGGCAGCTTTTAAAGAACGGCTCAGCTCCATGGAGTTAGTGATGGCCACTTTCACATATTTAATTTTTAACAACCCTGTCATTTGTCAGCGATGATCTTGACAGGCGATGTAGCACCATGAAACTGACAGACAAGATGTTGTGTCTGTTGGACTCATAGCTTTTTATGTGAATATATGTGTTGGTGTAACTGATGTTCATTTTCAGATTTTTGTGTTAAACATAAATCATTGCTGCTGCTTTACGAGAGTAGGTATTAATTTCAAGTAGCACCTCATTGCTGATGTAATGAGATCACAACCAACACCATGCCACAACCACCACACCACAACGGCACCACCACTACGCCTCTACCACCACATACCACCACCACCTCCACTATGATGCAGCTGCCAGCAACACCACCATCATCATGCAACTACCACAACCACAACGCAGCCGCCACGACCATCACCTCCACCACCGACACCAATACCATGCCAACAAGAAACCACCACAATGGCACCACCACTGACATGAATGCCATGCCAACAAAACCACCACAACCACCAGCATGCTACCTCCACCACGCTGCGGCCACTGCCACCACCAAAACCAACACGACCACGTCACCACCACCATCACGACACCACCACGCCAAAACCACAACGCCATCACCAAAACCATCGCCGCCTCAACCAAAAACCACCATGACCACCATCACCATGCCAAAACCACTCGCCCCCACCAACACAATGCCACCACCACTACCACACAACCTAACCACCACAATACCGCCGCCGCCACGACCACGACTACCACCACCATATCACCACACCACAATCACTTCTACCAAGCCATAAGCACCAACTCCATGCCGCTGCCGCCACCACCACCACTACTACCATTACCATGCCGCAACCAACACCATTACCCCACTACCAAAACCACCACCACCGCCACTACCACGTTGCCGCCGCCGCCACCACAACCACCAACACCTTAAACACTACGTCTCCACCACATAACGCACGACATGACCACGCCATCACCCCCACCACCATGCCAACATCAGCACCACGCCCGCCACCACCGCCACGCCAACAAGACAATGCCGCCATCACCACCAGCACCACAACAACACCTCCACTACCACGTCCATCACCAACACCACCAGAATCACAACCACGCCACCCCAACCACTACCTCGCCAACACCATCACCACGCCAACACCACCAGCACCACCACTACGCCAACACCACAACGCCATCACCACCAACACCATGCCACCACCATCACCACGCCAACACAACCAACACACCACCACCATCACGCCACCACCGACATACCACAACCACCACGTCGCCGCCGCCACCACCAACCTTCACCATCAAGGCGCCACCCCCACCAGCGCGCCGCCAACACCACCACCTAGACGCCATTACCACTTCCACAGAGCCACAACTACCACCACCATTTCACCACCACAAACATTACGCCGCAGCCACCGCCACCACCACCATGCCAACATCACCACAACGCCGAAACCACCACAAAACGCTACAACCACCATCACTACGCTGCAGCCAGCACCAACCACCACCAACATTACGCCGCCGGCAACACCATCCACCACCATGACACAACCACGCCAAAATTACAACACCACCGCCACCACCCCCGCTACCATGTCAACATCACCACAACGCCGACACCACCAACACGCGACCTCTACGCAACCACAATCACGCCACTATCACCACGACATTACCACCACGCCGCCAGGCTACCAACACCACAACGCCGCAGCAAGCACTACCAGCACCTCACCATCTCCACCTCCAAGCCACCGCCACCAGCACCACGCTGGCACCACCACACCACCGCCACACTACCACCAACAACACGCCAAAACCACAACGCATTCACCACCACACCACCAATACCACACCTCAACCGGCGCCACCACCTCCACTACCACGCTTCAGCCGTCACCACCACCACCGCGCTATAATATCCATCACGTCAGCGTTTCTCAAACTATGGTCTGCGGACCACAAGTGGTCCTCGAGGTGTGCCCTAGTGGTCCTTCAAAAAAGACAGAAGAAAAAATATAGCTATAGCTGAAAATCTCAATTTGGAAATTACACATGGCAATCATCTTTCACTTTTTCTCCCAGTACTGACATTTTATGAAATTTATTACCCTACCCGCCTACCGACTACCCACTCTACTCTCAGCAACAGAATAGGGATTTAAAGCACTGTGACCGTGGTGCATCTCGCCATCTTTCCCTGTATATTTGGCGCCGCGCCTGTAACCCAGCCAGGGACCACCCGAATTCATAACAGTGGACCAAAGTACCGAACTTTCTTTTCATGTATTTATGACTTTTCAAATAGTTTTGCAGACACCCAGTCTGAGCCATCTGCACATTGTAATGGTCACGTACGTCGTACACCAATAATACAACGTGCCAAATTCCTTCTTTACTTGTTGAAAATCGGGCATGTTCCTGCATTAATTTTTTTAATTTCTGTTTTTCCAGATGACGATATGAGAAATATTAGACTCCGCCTGTTTTAAAATCCGGGCGAATCATATCCAGAAATTCAAATTACAAGACTTTTCTAATTCAATTTTTTGTAGCCAATCACAAGTAAATAATAACGAATTCTGTGCATTGTTGATTCGTCGCTTGTCTGTTAGCAGTTGGTTGACAGCATTAAGATAATCAACTTTGTTAAGGCAAGGCCTCTGAATAGCAGAATATTTTCATTACTTGGCGAAGACATAGGTAGAGAGCACAATGCCCATGATAAAATAAAGGGGTTTGAGAGGAAACTTGGTTTGTGGGTCAGTTGTGTAAAACAGGAATTTTTCACCCTTTCCATCCTTAGTCTTTTTTAGTTGAAAATGATCTCATTATTGAAAAAGAAATACGCAATGACATATGTTCCCATCTCGAAACTCTGAGATGACAATTTGAAACTTATTTTTCAAGTAAATATGACGAATTTTCATGGGTTAGTGATCCTTTCCATTGCAATATTGAAGATAACAAACTTTCATTGAATGAAATAATTCTCAAATGACACTGGACTTCAAATGAAATTCCAAGCAGAAGGTATGGTTAATTTCTGGACCTCATCACCGGTGAAAGGAGAATATAGTGAACTGTACAATGGTGCTTTAAAGATTATAATTCAGTTTGCTTCTACGTATCTGTGTGAGAAAGGGTTTTCATCACTAACTCAAATAAAAACAAAGTACCGAAATCGACTCGATGTATGTGACGATCTCCGACTTAAGCTTACCAGCTACATCAAAATATAGAACAACTGTGCAAGAATCGGCAGGCTCACCCATTTCATTAATGTGAGTACCAACATTTATTTACTTTTTTTAGTTAATAAGTTAAAGATTATCCAAATCCCAATAGCCTTGAATTATTAAAAAAGAATATGAATTTTCTTCTATTAACTTAATTACTTAAACTAATATAAAAATAATTGAATTAAATGCATTTTAATTAATTCACTCTATTTTAAAATATAAGTATACTGGTACTAAAGGACAAACAGTGAAGCTTACTTCAAGACTAAGATCTGGTCATGAACGTCTGAATGGGCTCCAAATCAAGAAGAAAGTGACTGGCAAACCGTCAGTCGTAAAATGACTTTGAAAAGAAGCAAGAAGTAATGAGGAATTTTGTAGAAACGAAGCCGTAGGATATGTCGAAGACGAAGGCGAATATTTGCCATAACCATAGTAGGCCTTCCTAAGGCACTGGTGTATGGTTCAGAAGTTACGTGGTTGGAAGACATGACTATTTTTGTGAAAAAAAAAGAGAATGTAATAAATTTGTGCATGTAGGAAGCAAGTGGTACTATATGAGGAAGGTGCAGGTAACAAGTTTGCATAGATCTGGTGGTACGTGGGTAAGACATTGGCGTAGAATTGGGAAGGTACGGGGTTCGAGACCACGGTGTCTTTTGTCAATATAAACTGAAAAGTTAATGAATAAATACGATTTTTCTGCAGCTATAAACCAAGTCGTATAATAAAAAGGACGATCGCAGACATGTACGTCATACATGTTCTGGTGGTCTTGAGGTAAGGCACCGGCGTTGTAAATATAAGATTCGTGGTTCGAAAACCGAAGTATTTTTGTAATGAGATTTTTATGGAATTATATAGAGACATGTAACATAAGAGGAAGATTAAAGCTCAAAAATTTCCGCGGCATCGGTGGCATATTGGTAAAACACCGGTGTAGTGAACAAGA